GCCCTTCCCCCAGATCGAGGCGTCCACAAAACCGCAGCATGATTTCCAGTCTATCCGATGCCACCCTCACCCCCGGCTCCAGGCTTTCTCACCCATGTTCCTTTGACCCAATTCTAACAGCTATTTACGTATCCTTCTTTTAGGGAAGTATTTTGCAAACTAGTTCAAATTCTTTGTGGACCAAGGTGGAATATAAATAAATGTTCTTTTATTTAAACAAAACAAAACCACCTGGGCCGGGCACAGTGGCTCACGCCTGTAATCCCAGCACTTTGGGCGACAGAGGTGGGTGGATCACGAGGTCAGGAGTTCGTGACCAGCCTGGCCAAGATGGTGAAACCCCGTCTCTACTAAAAATACAAAAATTAGCCAGGCGTGGTGGTGGGCGCCTATAATCCCAACTACTGGGGAGGTTGAGGCAGGGAATTGCTTGAGCCCGGGAGGCGGTGGTTGCAGTGAGCCGAGATCGTGCAACTGCACTCCAGCCTGGGAGACAGGGCAAGACTATGGCTCAAAAAAGACACGCGCACACACACTTTTGTTAATCCTTTTATACTATGAAAATGTTTCAAAAGGTAGAAAATGTTTCAAAAGGTAAAAAATGTTTAATGTATTTGGCTTTCACAAATAGTTACCTTCAAAATTAGTCCATTATCTTCCTAGAAGCTAGTTACAACAGCCGAAATACCACCGCCCTTGGCCAAAGATCAGGAGCCCCTAATCAGGAAGAGGCTCCAGAAATTCCTGGGTTGCAACACACTGGCCTTCCCACATACCGTCTTCAGGCCTTTCTATATAAGTTTGGATTTGTATTTACTCTATTCCTGTTATTTTTGCATTGAAAACTAGGAAATCTTTTCTACCCTCATCACTGGGTGATCTGGGGGAGAAACAGAGAGAAACCACAAACCACATATAAAAACTTCAGTTCATTTCTTCCCCCAAGATGTCTTCTTAAATAATGTTAATGAAACAAATGAAAGAATAGGAGTCACAGGACCCTACACAACTATATAACCATAATGTGTTAACCCCTCCCCGTGTTACAGAAGGAAAAAGGGAGAGAAATGGGATGAGAGAGAAGAAAAAGACAAAATCGGCCAGGCGCTCACACTTGTAACCCCAGTACTTTGGGGGGCCAAGGCGGATGGATCGTTTGAGCTTGAGAGTTTAAGACCAGCCTGAGCAACATAGGGAGACCCCCGTCTCTATAAAAAAATACAAAAATTAGCTGGGTGTGTTGGTGCGCCCCTCTAGTCCCAGCTACTTGGGAGGCTGAGACAGGAGGATTGCTTGAACCCAGGAGGTCAAAGCTGCAGCGAGCTGAGATTGCGCCACTGCACACCAGCCTGGGTGACAGAGCAAGACTCTGTCTCAAAAAACAAAAACAACAAGGCCGGGCGCGGTGGCTCAAGCCTGTAATCCCAGCGCTTTGGGAGGCCAAGGCGGGTGGATCACGAGGTCAAGAGATCGAGACCATCCTGGTCAACATGGTGAAACCCTGTCTCTACTAAAAATACAAAAAATTAGCTGGGCATGGTGGCACGTGCCTGTAATCCCAGCTACTCAGGAAGCTGAGGCAGGAGAATTGCCTGAACCCAGGAGGCGGAGGTTGCGGTGAGCCAAGATCGCGCCATTGCACTCCAGCCTGGGTAAAAGAGTGAAACTCCGTCTCAATTAAAAAAAAAAAAAATGAAAAGGGCCCAGCGTGGTGGCTCACACCTGTAATCCCAGCACTTTGGGAGGCTGAGGCGGGTGGATCACCTGAGGTCAGGAGTTTGAGGCCAGCCTGGCCAACATGGCAAAATGCCATCTCTACTAAAAATACAAAAATTAGCCAGGTGTGGTGGCACACGCCTGTAATCCCAGCTACTTGGGAGGCTAAGGCAGGAGAATCGCTTGAACCCAGGAGGTAGAGGGAGGCTGCAGTGGGCAAGATTGCACCATTTCACTCCAGCCTGGGCAAAAGGGCGAAACTCTGTCTCAAAAAAAAAAAAGACAAAGACAAAATCAGGAGACATCCAGGTGAGAGTTCACTGGGATGACAGCACATCTGGAATAGGTGTTTCTCAGAAATATCTGGCCAGGCCACATCTGCACAGGGACCAATCTCAGCAAAAGTAAGTATGAGCTTGCAGGTCAGCAAGAGAAACTGCACCACAAGGGCCAAGGATGAGCTGGCACAGGATGTGGGAACAAGGGAGCAGAAAGGACGGGGGAGTGGTCGTGGGAAAGAGAAGAAAGGGAGTGATTTTAAGGAAATGAAGCTAGCAGGGCTTGCTGAAGGATGGCACTCTGGCTATAAAAAGGGGAAGTGTCTTGGGGGCTCCCGGGCATAGCTTCCTTCAAGCGCTCTGAGCTGGAGGAGTCCTGGCTGCAATCCCAGGACAAGGATGGAGATTCAGAGTTGGGGTACACCAACAAATTGGAGACATTTAAAACAGAAGGGGTGGGGGAGCAAGGAAAGGAGGCAGCCACCAGACAGGTGGCAGGAGAACCCAGGAAGGCTCAAGATGGAAACCCAGGAGGGACAGTCCCCAGCCAGGAAGGAGCAGGAGGGGATCACCGACAACTTTTCCTAGAGCAGATTAAAAGGAGTAGAACAAAGGCCGGACTGAATGACACAATGTTGACTTTCTGGCCAAGAGCACAGGTGCAAAGAGGCCAGAGTGGGGCTGGATGGGTAGATGGGTAGATGGGATGATTTGTTAAGAAAGGAGAGACTTGATATGCTTACGATGGACTGGGAACACTCAAAGGGGAGGCTGCTGCAGGAGAAAGGAAAGTTCCAGAGTGCAGGTGGAAGGCCAGCATGGAAGAGCTAAGAAGTCTGGGGTGGCATGTGGAAGGGTGGGTACAAGGAGGTCAGGGCCCAGTGCTCGGCCCAGGGCGGAAAGAGAGGGGCCAGGCAGAGCTGCAAGAGCAAGGAAAGATGAAGGGGTCACAGGCAGGGCCCCCAAGAGGTCAAGGGCAGGTAGGATGGGTATGGAGACTTGACTTGACAGGGCTCCAGGAATAAAGTTGAGAAGAGACCCCAAAATGAAACCTTAACACTTTTTTTTTTTTTTTTTTTTTCTTGAGACTGAGTCTCACTCTGTTGCTCAGGCTGGAGTGCAGTGGTGAGATCTTGGCTCACTGCAACTTTTCTGCCTCCTGGGTTCAAGCAATTCTTCTGCCTCAGCCTCCTGAGTAGCTGGGACTACAGGTGCACGCCACCACGCCCAGCTAATTTTTTTTTTTTTTTTTTTAGCAGAGACAGGGTTTCACCATGTTGGCCAGACTGGTCTCGAACTCCTGACCTCAGGTGATCTGCCCACTTTGGCCTCCCAAAGTGCTGGCTGGGATTAGATGCGTGAGCCACTGTGCCCGGCCCTGAGTGTTTGTTTTTGAGGCAGGATCTTGCTCTGTCGCCCAGGCTGGAGTGCAGGGTGCAATCTCAGCTCACTGCAGTCTCGATCTTCTGGGCTCAAGCGACCCTCCCGACCCAGCCTCCTGAGTAGCTGGGACCACAGGCGGTGCCACCACGCCGGATTAATTTTTGTATTTTTAGTAGAGACGGGGGGTGCGGGGGGGTCTTGCTATGCTGCGCAGGCTGGCCTCGAACTCGTGAGCTCAAGCGATCCTCCCGCCTGGAGCCTCCCAAAGCACTGGGATTACAGTCGTGAGCCACAGCGCCCGCGGACCCCGCTCAAATCCTAAACCTTGGCCGCCCGTCATCTCCTACAGAGGCGAAATCAGGCACCCACCGTGGCCGCGAGCATGACAGCGTCCAGCTCTACCTTGTCCACATGTCCACAGAAGATGGAGCTGAGGAGGCTGACGAGAAAGATCACCAACTGTGCAAGAAGCTGCCGAGGAGCGAAAAGCAAGGCGCGTTCACAGCCGCCCTCGCGCCCGAAGCCCGCGTCCCCTACTCCCTGACCCCCCGCCCCCCACACCCCCAACTCCCCAACCCCCACAGTGCGGCGGCTGCTCCGGACGCCGCACTCACCACCCGGCCCGCGAGCGCCGCCAGCTCGGCCGCATCCCGCCGCAGGTCTGGGGGCAGCGCGCCCCGCAGACACCGCAGACGGTCGCTCCAGCCCGGGGCCCGAGGCCGCTGGGGGGCGGCCGCGGGGAGCTCAGCGGGGACGGGGGGCGTCCGCGGCCGCGGGTGCCTCCATGCGGGCGCAGGGAGCGGCGGCGCCGGTATGGGACCGCAGTGCGGGGACAGCGGGGGGCAGTCCGGCCCCACCCAACCCCGCCCCTCCCGCCCGGACCCGAGCCGGACCCCCAGGGCCACTGTCTGCCCGCAGAACCCTGGGGGAGGGGGCCGGGAGGAGGTAGGGGGTCAGGAGGGCACTTGGGGGCTGATGAAGGGGGCTCGTGAAAGGGGTCCATGCGGGGAAGGACCCCTTGTGTGCTTTTGTATGACAGGAGTTTTTATCAGGAGAGTTTGCAGTCTGGTTGGAAGAGCAAAATGCCTTGGGGGTGGGCAGACAGGACGGAGCTGGTAATTCCATCCTCCCCCGCCGAGCTCGGGTCTGGCACTTTCTGAGATGCTTCTCCTGGCCTGGGCTTGAGGCCAGTTCAGGTATTTCGGGGAGAGGAGGGGTCCTGGCTGGCTGGGACCCCAACTTTCCTGCGCCTGGCGTCCTGAGTGGTCTCCTGCCAGCGACTGCTGTGGCTGATGGTTAAAGGAACCTCCTCTCATCCCCAGGGGTTCCTCCCCAACCTGGCAAGGGGAATGGCAGGGGGTGCTGGGTGGGGGGACCTCTGCAGTGGCTGCCCCCTGCCCCCAGGCCCAGCCCCGAGGGCCACAGTGCAAGCCTTTATCTGCCTCCCTGGAGAATGGACCACATGGCCCCAAGAACAAGGCACCAAGGGTAGAGAGGTAACCTGAAGGTTACCCCAACCAAAATCAGCAGTTGGGTGTTTTTTTACTCAAAGTAGGTAACTTTTTTGTTATTTCAGGAAAACGCCATGTCTAGAGCATTATGTGAAAAATGTGCAGGCAAATCTCGATTTAGTGTTTTATTTGGGAAGAAAGAATCGCAGTTCAGGGCATCCATGCAGACCAGGTGGTCCTCGGTATGTCCTAGCAACACAGAGAAGGCTGGAGGTTTCATCAAAACAAATGTCAGTATTGCTATTTGAGAAAGTTGATTGGCACCAGGAAGGGTCCTGGGAGCTGGCCAGCTACAATCGGTAAGCAACCGGGCAGGCAAAATTAGTCCTAGAGCTTCAGCAATTATCTCGGCGGTTATGGATAAAGCTGGTCCCAGCTTACAGCAGGCAGTTTCAGCAGCTGGATGTGCGGAAAATTACATTACTAGATTAATGTTATATGCCCGGGGTGCTTTTATCCCCTGCTTCCTGACTTACAGTTGGGTGTGATAAGAATGACTCAGTTTGGTATAATCCACTTTCACAGCACTGCATTTACTTAGTATGTCCTGAGGCTTGCTGAATCAACGGTGTGGACCGCACCCCAGGAAGCCTTAAGGCAGTAGGATTACTACTTACGCTAAAGACTTTATTAAAATTTTGTCCTCTGGCTAGGCGTGGTGGCTCACGCCTATAATCCCAACACTTTGGGAGGGCAAGATGGAAGGATTGCTTGATCCCAGGAATTTGAGACCAGCCTGGGAAACAAAAGGCTAGACCCCGTCTCTACAAAAAATAAAGAATTAGCTAGGCATGGTGGCACACGCCTGTGGTCTCAGCTACTCAGGAGGCTGAGGTGGAAGGATCACTTGAGCCCAGGAGGTTGAGGCTGCGGGAGGTCAGGCACACACCCCTACCAGGAATTATTAGTCTTTGTTTGGATTTCCACAGCTCCAAAGATTACTCAACTGTTTTTCAGTGCCCACAGGGCCTAGATTTAGACCTCAAATGAAGATTAACAAATGCCAGCTGGGCATAGTGGCATACCCCTGTAGTCGCAGTTACTCTGGTGGCTGATGCAGGAGGACTGCTTGGAGCCCAGGAGGTGGAGGCTGCAGTGAGCGATGATGACACCACTGCACGCCAGCCTGCGTGATAGAGCAAGACCTCTGTCTATTAAAAAATAATAATAAACCAGAACAAATGCCATTTGCCCAGCGAATAGTAATCTAAGACCTAAGGAAAGATATATTGTAAAATATATTTTAAATAATTCAGGCAGTAGGAATTCTTAGTTTTATGGGTTTGTGTCTAAAGCCATAGGCTGATGCAGTTAGCACAGTGGTCCTTGCTTCAGATAATCGTGGATGAATAGTTACTCATGTATCTTTCAGACACTGTCTTGGGCCAGAATACAGCTTGTCACCTTAGTTCCTTGCTTTTTTTTTTTTTTTAAATGTATCTTTGCATTCCAAATCTTCGAAATCCATGAGCGCACCTGAATGACATTAACTGAAAGGAAATTGTCACTGCTGGGCCTGTATCCGTGTGTAAGCTCAAAAGCATCCCCACTTGACCTGACTTTGCCTCCTGCGACATCACTGAATTCTGACATATAATCTCACTAAAATCCCCACCAGCAAGATTAAGAAGACCCCCAGGAGCAGAAGGCCTCGCCGCAGCACCAGCTGTTTCCTGGACAACTTCGCGCTGTCCCGTGGATGGACGGTCGGAGGTTGTGCTTGGTGCATCTGCTGATCCGACTGACTCTCGCCTGTCTTTTCAGCATCGTTCATTAAAATTCCTTCATGGTTTTCAGGGCACCCTGGGAGGAAAAAGTAATTTAGTAGCTCACAAGGGATTTTTTTTTTCCTTTGTACAAAGGGCTATGCATAAAAGGAATACTGAGAGAAATTAATTCAGTAAGCAATTGAATAAGATTGGCCATCCCACTTCCCACTGAGCATAAGTGGGTGGATGTTAGGAATATAGCAGCATCCTCATAGTTCTGAAAGAAAATCATATGGGGCGGGGTACAGTGGCTCATGCCTCTAATCCCAGAACTTTGGGAGGCTAAGACGGGCAGATCGCTTGAGCCCAGGAAGTCAAGGCTGCAGTGAATCATGATCACACCACTGCACTCCAGCCTGGGCAACAGAGAAAGACCCTGTCTCAGAAAAGAAAGAAAAGAAAAAGAAAATCATTTTGAACAGAACTGTACCAGCTCACACTTAACAAATTGCTTGCCTTGGTCGGACAGTTCTGGGTGCTCCTCAACCCTAACGTCTGTTGTATGAAGTAAGTGCCATTGTTCGGCCGGGTGAGGTGGCTCACATCTGTAATCCCAGTACTTTCCGAGGCAGGCGGATCACTTGAGGTCAGGAGTTCAAGACAGGCCTGGCCAACGTGGTGAAACCCTGTCTTTACTAAAAATAACAAACGTTAGCCAGGCGTGGTGACGCACGCCTGTAATCCCAGCTATTTGGGAGGCTGAGGCAGGAGAATCATTTAACCGTGGGAGGCAGAGGTTGCAGTGAGCCGAGACTGCATCACTGCACTCCAGCCTGGACAACAGAGTGAGACTTATCTCAAAACAAAACAACAAAAAAACAATAAAAAAACACACAAGTGCTATTGTTATGTGGATTTCACGAATGGGGAAACTGGCAACAGATGTTGATCCAGGAAAACATGGGCCAACCCTTGCCTGAAGATCATTGTCGAATCTGAATAAAACAAATTAAATATCATCTTGAAGGCATCGGAATGCAAACAATGTAATGAAGAGTCACCAGGGCAAGATCCAGGAGACGAAGGAGCCCAGAGGGGCCGCCCAGCCTCTGGGACTGCTTCAGATCAGAGAGTTCATTCAGATCAGAGAGATCAGAGGATGCAGGTCAGACAGATCTGCACCCCGACCACATGACTGAGACATTGAGCAGGGCTTTGGGGACTTGGGTACCTACCAAGAATCAGGCCCTGGCAAACCTATCTGTAGTTGAGCTTGGAACCCTGAAGGGCTACATCCACGAATGAAGGATGAACCAGGCCGGGCGCAGTGGCTGGTGCCTGTAATCCCAGCACTTTGGGAGGCCAAGAAGGGTGGATCACTTGAGGTCAGGAGTTTGAGACCAGCCTGGCCAACATGGTGAAACGCTGTCTTTACTAAAAATACAAAAAGTAGCCAGGTGTGGTGGCACACACCTGTAATCCCAGCTACTTGGGAGGCTGAGGCACAAGAACCACTTGAACCCAGGGGGCTGAGGTTGCAGTGAGCCAGAATCATCCCACTCCACTTCCAGCTACTCAGGAGGCTGAGGCAGCAGGAGAATCGCTTGAACCCGGGAGGTGGAGGTTGCAGTGAGCTGAGATTGCACCACTGCACTGCAGCCTGGGACAATGCAAGACTCCTCAGAAAGAAAAAAGATGAACCCCAGAAAAAGTAAACCAGGCCTCACACTGGCTGCAGCACACCTCAGGTCAGCTGGGTGCTCCAGAAAACTCCCATTTCCAAGACTGCCCTAGACTGCTGGTCACCCCCAGTGTCCAACAAAAGAAAATCCTCTCTGAAGATAGACGACATTCTTTCAGGCTCAAATTACTTCTACAGAAAATTTTCAAATATAAAGTCTGCAACATAATCAAAGATAACCAGGCCAGGTGTGGTGGCTCATGCCTGTAATCCCACTGCTTTGGGAGGCCAAGGCAGGAGGATTGCTGGAGGCCAAGGCAGGAGGATTGCTTGAGCCCAAGAAGTGGAGGCTGCAGTGAGCTATCATCGTACCTCTGCACACCAGCCTGGGCAACAGGGCGAGACCCTCTCTGTATTAAAAAAATTTTTTTTTCTTTAATTGAAACTTTAAAGAAATTGATTAAAATCAAAGATACTCAGATACACAGCACGGGAGCCTAGACAACATGCAGAGACACAATTGACCACTGACTGCAAATTAGCCATTCTGTGAAGTCAGTGTTTAAATTATAAAGGAGCAAGGATTACTGTGAGTGGGTGGCTAACTGCCTAAGGGGCCAAGAATGGGGGAGGGGGGAATTCCTCAATTGACTGAAGAAAACCATAACCACAATTGCATGATGTGCAGCAGAAGCAAAGGTCAGAGCAACAACCTGTTTTAAAGCCCACAAGTGTCTGCCTGATGAGCAGCAGGAGCCCCATTAAAACAAACGAATGTCAGTTTCCAAGCTAGGATAGCAGCACAGTACCTCCAAGTGTTGGAAATGCCTGCAAAGTGCTTGCGGAAGTACCACACATTAGGGGAGGAACTGGGGACATTTTCATCTGTATAGGTCCCAGTTAGTATACTGCAGTATACTAATGTGTGGAATTAAAGCAAATAAACTTTAAGTCAGTTTACCTTGAATTGGGTGTTACTTGACTTCATCACGTGTTTCTGAAACATTATTGCCCTATTTAAATGGGAGCTCATGGCAGCAAATCTAGCTGTGTCTCACTAACAGCCCCTCCAGTCCCACCTAGACGGGCCTGCAAGGGCTGAGGGAGTCATATCATACCTGGGTGAGGCAGATCCTGCGCGAGAGCAGAATTCCCACTCTGAGCCACGTTTACTTTCAAATTGGCATGTACCTGAGCCTGGAAAATGAAACTCAGTCAGTTCATCGGGCTTCATGATGGTGTTAATAAGGTATTTTACTTGACCACCTGGTTTAGGAAAAGCCAAGCCACTTTCCCTAATTGGCATGTGTAGCTGAAGCTCCTCTCATTCACCGGTCATCTTTCGTAAAGACTGAAATGGGGCCAGGCTCAGTGGCTCACTCACACTTGTAATCCCAGCACTTTGGGAGGCTGAGGAGGGAGGATTGCTTGAGCTCAGGAACTCAAGGCCAGCCTGTGCAACACAGCAAGACCCCATTTCAACTAAAAAATTAAAAAACAAACAAACAAAAGCCAGGCACGGTGGTGCATGTCTGATTCCCAACTGCTTGGGAGGCTGAGACGGTAGGATGATGTGAGCCCAGAAGGTTGAGACTCCAGCAGGCTGTGATCCTGCCACTATAGTCCGGCCTGGGTGACAGGGTGAGACCCTGTCTCTTAAGATTGAAATGGGGTCCATGAGGGGGAAGGTGGGATGGGAAGAGTACAGAGTGAAGGAGGTGGACAAGACAAGAGAGGGACCAAGATCACTACTTTATCTCTTTTCTCTTCCTTTTTTTTTTTTTTTTTTTTACAGAGTCTCGCTCTGTTACCAGACAGGCTAGAGTGCAATGGCACGATCTCGGCTTACTGCAACGTCCGCTTCTTGGGTTCAAGCGATTCTCCTGCCTCAGCCTCCCAAGTAGCTGGGACTTCAGATGCCCGCCACCACACTTGGCTCATTTTTGTATTTTTAGTATAGATGGGGTTTCATGATGTTGGCCAGGCTGGTCTTGATCTCTTGACCTCGTGATCCACCTGCCTCAGCCTCCCAGAGTGCTGGGATTACAGGTGTAAACCACCATGCCCGGCTCTCTTTTTTCTTTAAAAAATTTTTTTATTTGTAGAGACAGGGTCTCACTCCATCACCCAGGCTGGTGTGTAGTGAGCGGTGCAATCACAGCTCACTGCAGCCTCGAACTCCTGGGCTTAAGCAATCTTCCCGCCTCAGCCTCCTGAGTAGCTGGTACTACAGGCATAAGCCACCCGTACCTCGACTCATCTCATTTTTCTATCACCTCTTTCTAGACCTCACATTGACCCTAGAAAGCTGAAGGGAAGGATGCACCAAGTATCTTCACAAAACATCTGGGGATCATAAAAACATCAGGATGACTTTGATGCATCCCACCTTTCTCTTCCGTTCTAATTCTTGTCCTGACATTGGATTTTCCTGCACAAGGGGAACAGCCTGGCATGGGAGACAAGGAAGAAAGGAACCTCCTGTTTTTCTGGGAGTGGATAAAGCTGGGGTTATCTGGCCCTTCACATCTGAATTGTCTAGTGAAAACAACAAGAAAAATAGTATTCATGATATAAAAATAAAGAAAATGAGAAAAGAACTTTCCAAAATGAAAAAGGGAGAGCCGGATCAGAGCCTATTTTTCTAGGAAAGGAACCAGGACAGAATGAACATAGTTACCTGCTGACAGGCTTTTTCCCAATTTAGCTGAATAATAAAGCCTAGAAAACACACAGCTTGAAAGACTGTACAGATGATGATCCCTGACCACAGACCTAGAAATAGAAATATTTAATAGAGGTTAATTCCACAGAAAACCAGCTGCCCCTGGGGAGTATGTTTTGCCTATCTCACTTCTGTCAGCCATACTGAACTTCTGCTTTCATGGCCGACGTAGAGCCCACAGTGGGCCAGAGACCTCTACCCTGCTCCTTCTTGGGCTTCCAGAAGGTTCCGGAAGGTTCTAGAAATCACAGTACTCCCTGAGGCCTCCTCCAAAAGGGCCATCTCTTGTGGTTCAGGATTTCAAAACAAATATTCGGAGGATTTTTTTGGCCATACTGACTATAATGCTTGAGTATTAAGAAAAATGTCAGTTATAAGAAAATTAAAATTTCCCAGGACCAACTACTTCTGCCCTATTTTCCTCAAAAAAGGGGACTAACATTAAAAAAAAAAAAAAAAGCAGAAATCACTAGCTATGTAAATTAATAATGTTCCCTGCCTCAGAGTTCCTACCAGACCTTGGACCTTAACTTGCTTCTGACAGACTTTGCTGGAAGCTCCCAGAGGAGGGCTGTGCACCCAGAGATGACTAGAGAACAGCAAAGGCAGGCCTGGTGGGCACAGGTGGTGGGAAAAGCCCCATGGATCTCAAAGCACCACACAGGACACAGTGGGAGACGCCAGGTGAGGAGGGTTTTTGGTCAACAGTAAACTCATGGCAGAACCAAAAGCGCCAACAATAACCAAGAGACAAGGGCCTGACCATAATAAAAACAGACCTATTTTGGGTTCTGCCCCACAACAGACAGCCCAAGAAACCACCCCTCTCTACAATAAACCCAGGAAGCCAGCCTGCCCTAAATCAGACTTGCAGGAAGCAAGATGGCTGCCTCCGGTGACAATCCAGGAAGCTAACCAGTAAATTCTGTAACGATTGGCCCCAAATGGTCAGGACTTGATTAGCAACTGACAGCTTCTCTAACTTTGGTCCGCATTTCCAACTTAGAACCAACCAGAGAAAGTAAGATACATCCCCCTAACCAATCACACGGAGGCCTATTCCTAGTCAGCCCTCTCCAGCATCCCCAGATCAAGTCTCAGGGCACACCTGCAGCCTCCCCTTTTATCCACTGGGATGCTTTCCCACTCCTTTGCCTGCCTTTGAGTCTCTGCCCAAATACAAGTGGTGGCAGCCAACACCCTGGCTGAGAATATGCCTTTGCTTGTCTTGCTTGGTTGGTCCTGCTTTATTTCCACAGCTGTCCAGATCCATGTAAGGTTTAAGGTGGCTAGTCTGGGTTCCTGGTTTACTGATTAGGTACAAGGTTGACAGCTCTGTTTCTTGGTACCAGTCACATTTTTTCAGGTATGACTAGCTTGCCCTTTTGTTTGCTTTTTAGAGGCAGGGTCTTGCTCTGTTGCCCAGGCTGGAGAGCAGTGGCGTGACTACAGCTCGCTGCAGCCTCAAACTCCTAGACTCAAGTGATCCTCCCGCCTTGGCCTCCCAAAGCACTAGGATTATAGGTATGAGTGCACCCAGCCTAGCCTGCTCTTAGAATAGTATAGTTGGTGTCACCTGCTAGTCATATAAAAAATTATCAAAAGGAAGCTACTGGCTTCCTCTTTCAAATCCAGTGTTCTCAGTGCATAGAAACTACAAGCTCACCCAAACCATCTTAAACAGAAAATAACTAGCAAACTCCAGCTATAATTTGGAAGTTATGAATTAGATTTCTAGTAGTTTAGCATAGATCATTTAAAGATTTCTATTTGATCCAACCTAGGAACCCAAAGTAGGATGAATATTAGAATCCCATGGGCAAGGCCCAGGAATTTACATATTTAAAAGTCTCCCAGGGATTCTGAGGGTCATTATGATTTTCTGGGGTTGCTTCTGAGACCCTGCAGAATTCTGATGCTCTCCTACACCCTGTATAGGTATACTGCATACCATACTACAGGAAACACAAGATTCAAATCCAGTTCGTACCATACTTTCTTCTAACAGGTGGGTGGAAGGATTGACTACAGTCTTCTCATAGAGCCCTCACATCCCCAGGGCCCCCATCATTTCTTTTCAGTGATTCTCAACTTCTACTTTGCATATTTAGTTTTTTTGTTTTTTGTTTTTGAGATAGAGTCTCACTCTGTCACCCAGGCTAAAGTACAGTGGTGCCATCTTGGCTCACTGCAACCTCTGCCTCCAGCATTCAAGCGATTCTCATATCTCAGCCTCCCGAGTAGCTGGGACTACAGGTGCACACCACCACATCTGGCTCATATTTGTATTTTTAGTAGAGATGGGGTTTTGCCATGTTGGCCAGGTTGGTCTTAAACTCCTGACCTCAAGTAATCTGCCAATTCAGCCTTCCAAAGTGCTGGGATTACAGGCATGAGCCATTGTGCTCTGCCTGTAATCCCAAATATATTTACTTAACAAAATATACTGAGGCTCATCCCTCAGTATATTTTGTTAAGTGAATAGGTGAGCCAAGGACAGCACTTGGGATATGGATAGATTTATATTTAAAAGCAGATTCCTCATGCCTGTAATCCCGGATACTTGGGAGGCCAAAGTGGGAGGATCACTTGAGGCAAGGAATTTGAGACCCGCCTGGGCAACATAGCAAGACCCCATCTGTAAAAATGAACAAGAGAATAAAGTAGATTCCTCTTCTAAAAAAATTGAAGTCATAGACGTAGAGAATAGCATGATGGTTACCAGAGACTGGTGGCAGGGAGGGGAGGATGTGGGAACAGGAAGTTGTTAAGACACAAAGTTTCTGATAAACAGGAAGAATAAGTTTTGAGGTCAATTGCACAGCAGGGTGACCATAGTCAATGTACATTTTGAATCAACTAATTTCAAATGCCTTACCATAAAAAAGAAGTGAGGTGATAAGTACATTAATTAGCTTGATCTAATCATTCCACATTTATACATATATCAAAACACCACACTGTACCCCATAAATGCATACGATTTGTCAATTTAAAATGTAAAAGACATAAAAAAGAATTAAAAGTATTTCCTTAATATTTTATACTGATTGCATGTTACAATAATATTTTGTCTATATTGTGTTACATGAAATACATTGCTTTAAAAATAAAAATAGATTCTTATAATATTTGCATTAGCTATCCAATTGGCAAATCCAGAGTATGAATCATACCAGAAACTCAGCTAAATAATTTTCTGCACTATCATGCAAGCCCATTGAACTCTGCACTGGCAATTCTATTCTTTGAACAACTCCTGTATTTTTAATTAAAATATTATTGAACTTGAGAAAAATGTACCACCTAAAGGAACACACTGAACTGTAAGTTCCCCAGAGGTATCAGGTGACTTCTCACCACCTCAGAACCTGCCAAGTACGGATGGGTCAAAACAAGCCACGCTTTACATCAGTCACTGCTCACCCCGAAGATAATGTCCAACTTTTCATATCATCATTTATTAACTGCCAATATATTCGGAATTATTATTTTAGAAATCAAAGCTGGGCAGTCATTTATTTCCACACTTTTAGAAATGATTAGCTCTGGTAATTTCAGATGCTGTGGATTAAGCTTTTTCTTCCAAATGTGGGAAGGTGCTCGGGTCCACCGCCTTCCTTCTGTGCTGTTCACGTTGACCACGTGCATGCCCTTGTGGGGAGACCCACAGACACACAGCTGAGGCCGTACAGGGAGGGAGGTGGAGACTGCGGAGTGCGATGGGGGTGATGAGGAGGGCACTGGCCACCCGATGCCCTCCAAGGATCCAGCCACGCTGCCTGGTGAACGCACAGGGCGCTGCTTTAGGATGTACAGTGCCACTGTGAGTGCTGACCCTGTGGCACCCCATGCATGCAGGACAGACCACCTATGACGGCCTCCACCCTGCAGACTCACCCTCAGGGGCTCACACGCTGTCTAAAGAACAGCATGGAACATGCAAAAGGGACGCTTCCGAATGCTTCTTCAGCGGTCCCTGCTGTCACCCCCTTTGGAGAAGTGAGGGCTGGATGACTCAGAACAGGAGGTGAATAGAAAGGGCATCTGAGCTCAAGTTTGTCCGAGTGGAAGACTGCCTGCAGGGGTGGGAGGGGAGGACCACGGAGTCTTGGGGCCCTGGCTAGAGCTGGAGGCCACTTCCTGAACATCCTCTAAGCTCTCTGACAAAACACAGAATGGACGTGAGCGAGCTCCCAAATTTCAGAGGTGGGCCTCAGTAAAAGGCCTGTGTGCTCTGACGGTCATTTCCTGGGCTGGTGAGCAGCTAAGCCCTGCCTGCACAGGTTAGAGCTTACCCATCACTCCAAGTTTGGTTGCAAACATCAGCGCGATCCCAACGGGGAGGCCCACCACATAGTACCCAACGGCATTCACGACGGCTCCCACCTTCTGATTTCCACTCCCCCTCAGAACGCCACCGCTTGTGCACTGCAGGCAGAGAGCATCCCATCAGTGCCAACGAAGCCAGTTCTCCTGAAACACGCCCATCTCCTGAGCACTTCATATTCTGTAGGACTCTGACTCTAAAATCCATGATAAGATGACAGCATCCTTCTAAACGAATATGATAATAATATTCAATCTTCCTACCTACCCTGGCCCCTCCTCGCAGCTGAAATTTACCACCATCAGAAGAAATTCATAGATCAAAACAGTGCTTAGGGGACTGCTACATAATACTTACAGCAAGCGCTTCAAAGAGGTGGGAAACAGCATAAATTGGAACCACCTGAGCCACCAGATTAATGATGTCTCTGTTAGGAAAATAAAGCACATGTTGATTAGGAGCCAAAGTGGAGAAAGAAGTATATAGCTTTCTGGCAGGTGCAGTGGCTCATGCCTATAATCTCAGCACTCTGGGAAGCCGAGGCAGGCAGATCACCTGAGGTCAGGAGTCTGAGACCAGCCTGGCCAATACAGCAAAACTCCATCTCTACTAAAATATAAAGGGAACCGGGCCTGGTGGCGAGCACCTGTAATCCCAGCTACTCAGGAGGTTGCAGCAGGAGAACTGCTTGAACCTGGGAGGCAGAGGTTGCAGTGAGCAGAGATCACACCACTGCACTCCAGCCTGGGTGATAGAGTAAGACTGTATACTTGTAAAATATATATATATTATAAATATATATATTTATAATATATAAATAAATTTTTATATATATTTATAAATATATAAATATATATCTTAAAAGTATACATTAAAAATATATATTTATTAATATATAAATATATATCTTAAAAGTATACATTAAAAATATATATTTATTAATATATAATATAAATTATATAATATATAATATATATTTAATATATATATTTTAAAAAGCATATAGCTTTCTGCATGTAACACACATGTGCATGCATTGCCGCCAGCAGCCTAGTCAGGGACAGTTCTCCTGTTGCTGGGCCCATAGAGGAAACTAACTGCATGTTGTATCTCATGACTTTTAGGAAAAATACAAAGCACCACACTCTTGACTTCAGGAGATATGTTTCAAGACCCCCGGTGGATACCTGAAATAGCAGAGAGGACTGAACCCTAAATACACCGTGCTTTTCCTATACACTCATACCTACAATAAGGTTAGTTCATAAGTTCTGCACAGTAAGAAAGTAACAGCAGTAGGAACAAAGTGGATCATAACCACACGCCAGCATCGCTGCTCTTGTGCTTTGGGGCTCTTACCCGCACTGTGATCCCAGTGCAGTCAACCTGAAATAACCATCGGGTGGAAGCACACGCAGCATGGAGATGCTGGACAGAGGGATGATTTCACGTCCCAGGTGGGGTGTGAGATTTCCTCCTAATACTCATAACAGCATGCAATTGAAAACTTGTGAATTGTTTATTTCTAGAATTTTCCACTTAAGATTTTCAGACCAAAATTGACTGCAGGTGACTAAACCCTAGAAAGCAAAACCAAGGACAAGAAGGGGCTGCTGCATAGACCACTTAGTCAGTGTAGACAAATTAAGTGATTTGGTGACACCCCTCCCCCGTGCCCCACCAGCAACAACAAAAAGAAGTTTGGCTGGGCACAATGGCATACTCTTATCATCCCGGCAAGTTTGGATGCTATGCTTATCCTTCTTTTAAGATGATGCCACAGGCCAAGCCTGACTGTGCCTCTCAGTGAGCCTGAGTGAAACACTACAGAGTAAGAATTAAGTTCCCCCTACAGAACCAAGGTTGGTAAGAGCCATAGATATATTCTGCAGAGATATCCTTGGTTCCTAGAAATACAACTCCTAAAGCTAGAGACTTGGATTCTAATGCCTACACATGAAGGGAGACAGAAAAATGCTGCCCCTCACCTGGGGAAGCAAGAAATTCACAACACCCTTCAAGTGAGTTTGGTCACTCCGAAATAGAACCTAGAACACTGCCTGGCAATAAATATTTGTTTAATTAATAAATAAGAAATCCAGCACTGGGCCAGGCGCCGTGGCTCCCGCCTGTAATCCCAGCACTTTGGGAGGCTGAGGTGGGCGGATCACCTGAGTTTGGGAGTTCAAGACCAGCCTGACCAACATGGAGAAACCCCGTCCCTACTAAAAATACAAAATCAGCCAGGCATGGTGGCACATGCCTATCATCCCAGCTACTCAGGAGACTGAGGCAGGAGGATCGCGTGAACCCGGGAGGTGGGGGTTGTGGTGAGCCAAGATCGCACCACTGCACTCCAGCCTGGGCAACAAGAGCAAAACTCCATCTCAAAAAAAAAAAAAAGCAATCCAGCACTGAACAACATGATCAGTTCCTCCTCATCAAAAAGAAGAGAAATATAGTTATTTTATTAAAATTATATTTTTTGAATAGGTAACATGCACATGGTCAAAAAACGGAACAATATGAACAAGATAGTGAGGAAAGTCTCACTGCGATGCCCTTCCAGGCTGCTTACTACCAGTCCTGCTCCTCCAGGTGACAATTCTTAGCACTTTTCATGTTTGTCTAGAATCTATGAAAATATAAGCAAATACAAATGTATATTCTTAATTTTCCTTTTTATATTCCATCATTTCACATGCAGCATTCTCTGTATGATGTTCTGTACTTTGCTTTTTCCACCTGAGATATTATATTCACTTTGCTTTTTTGAGACAGGGTCTCACTGTCGCCCAGGCTGGAGTGGAGTGGTGAAATCATGGCTCACGGCAGCCTCAATCTCTCCAGCTCAAGTGATCCTCCCACCTCAGCCTCTCGAGTAGCGAGGACTACAGGTGAGCGCCACCATGCTCAGCTAAATTTTATTTTTTGTAGAGATGGGGTTTCGCCATGTTGCCCAGGCTGGTCTCAAACTCCTGGGCACAAGTGATCCTTTTGCCTCAGTCTCCAAAGTGTTGGGAGACTGAGCCACAGCGCCTGGTCTATATTCACTTTTACATTTCACCAAAGTATATTCTTTTCAATGTGCTGCTGAATTCTAATAATATTTTACTTTGGATTTTTAAATTGATATTAATACATAAGAGTGATCTGTGATTTTCTTTCTTTTTTAGGTGCAAACTTTGTCAGATTTTGGTACCCATGTTATATTTGCTTCACAAACAGAATACAAATTTTTGTTTTTCTGTGCTCTGAAATTTTCTATGATTTATGTACGTTCGCAATTCCCTATGTTTTGAAGATTTTATAAAATTATCCTTTGGAACCTTCTGGGGTTATGTTTTTGGCATTTTAAAATCGCTTTCACTTATTTCTCATCAGGAAATCAGTTTACTTAGACCTTCTATCTTTTCTAGGGTACATACTGATCAATTATGTCCCTAGAAAATGATCTGTTTATTCCAGGTTTTTAGATTTCCTTGAAAAAAGTTGTGCAAAGTGTCTTTTAGGATTTTTTTAAATGATTGTGTTTAGTAGTGCCACCCCCTTCATTTGTTAGAGGGGCCTTTTCCCGGCCCTGTGACTAAGTTAGGTAGAGTCACCTCTGTTTCACCGATTCTACCAGGTTGGGTTGATCCCGGCCACCTTACAAGTAATTTGATTCTTGAGTTTCCAATGTTTCCCTGTCTCATCAGCTCTATGGTTTGTGGGCCTCTTGTTTTTCATTCTTTACCTGCTGTGGACAGATTCAGTGTCCAACTTCTACCAAATTCCTACTGAAACCATCTGTCTATCCTGGTCCTCATAAAGTTCATCCCAGCCGGGCGTAGTGGCTCACGCCTGTAATCCAAGCACTTTGGAGGCCAAGGCGGGCGGATCACCTGAGGTCGGGAGTTCAAGACCAGCCTGACCAACATGGTGAAACCCCGTCTTAAAAAAAAAAAAAAAAAAAAAGGGCGGGCGCGGTGGCTCAAGACTGTAATCCCAGCACTTTGGGAGGCCGAGGCGGGTGGATCACGAGGTCAAGAGATCGAGACCATCCTGGTCAACATGGTGAAACCCCGTCTCTACTAAAAAAAATACAAAACATTAGCTGGGCATGGTGGCGCGTGCCTGTAATCCCAGCTACTCGGGAGGTTGAGGCAGGAGAATTGCCTGAACCCAGGAGGCGGAGGTTGCGGTGAGCCGAGATAAAGTTCATCCCGATTCCCTTTGTGAGAAAAGCCAAGTATTTACCGTCACCTTCCCCACTCATTCTGAGTGAGGGATCTACAAACATCTTTTTTTTTTTTTTTTGAGATGGAATCTCACTCTGTTGCCCAGGCTGGAGTGCAGTGGCATGATCTCAGCTCACTGCACCCTCCATCTCCCAGGTTCAAGTAATTCTCCTCCCTCGGCCCCCTGAGTAGCTGGCATTGCAGATGTGTCTCACCATGCCTGGCTAAATTTTTTGTATTTTTAGTAGAGACAGGGTTTCCCCATGTTGACCAGCTGGCCTTGAACTCCTGAACTCAAGTGATCCAGCCGCCTCAGCCTCCCAAAATGCTGGCATTATAGGCGTGAGCCACCGCTCCTGGCCTAAACATCTATTTTCCCATAACAAAACAGCTGAAGCTGAAAAATGAAAACCTACCATCTGAAGTCAAAGGACAAATGTGTGAAGGATAAGCCATGAAGTTAGTTCTGTCCACTCTGCCAGCTTCCTGAATCCATGAAGGCAAAGTCAATTTGCATTTTGTAACTGCTGATAAAGGCGTCCCAAATAAGAAGTATCCCCACAAAGTTTCTATATAGTCAGAATGTAAACACTAGCATCACTGATGAAGGAAAAAATTCTGCAGAGCAGAGGGGACTTATCCAAGAATTCCTCAGTCATCAATCTGAGAATGTGACTTTTGAGACAGCTCACTGGCGAGATTTTAACTTCAATTCAGTTTGCCATATTATGCAACTACTACACACCAGGCAGTTTGGCAGATACTAAGAAACGAAGAGGATTCTTATCATTGGAAACAAAATAATTAACTGAAAATGTAATTAACTGTACTGAAAAGGAGTTTCCACCTTTAAAACATGACCACCAGAAGCATAAAATCATCACCAGTGCCCATTGGTTGGCATGGTAGACTATGGAAACCAGTTCCTACACTGAATATGTTTTTCCCAAGTAACATCAGTGGAGCCGCTGATCTGCTGCAACAACCACAGGCAGCCCCCCTGTGATAGCATCTATCCAACTTAACCATTTCTTTTTTTTTTCCTTTTTTTTGGGACAGAGTCTCACTCTCATCACCCAGGCTGGAGTGCAGTGGCATGACCTCACCTCACTGCAACCTCTGCCTCCTGGGTTCAAGCGATTCTCCAGTCTCAGCCTCCTGAGTAGCTGGGATTACAGGCACCCGCCACCACACTCGGCTAAGTTCTGTATTTTTAGTAGACATGGGGTTTTGCCATGTTGGCTAGGCTGGTCTTGAACTCCTGACCTCAGGTGTTCTGCCCTTCTTGGCCTCCCAAAGTGCCAGGATTACAGGCGAGAGCCACTGTGCCCCACCGGAACCATTTCTTTATCACAGATTTCATTTTTCAAGAAAACCCCAGCACTCACCGGTCAGTAGTGAAAATGTACCCCACGTGATCCTTACAGCTTAACAGCAGGACACTGAAGCCTACAGCAAAGAGCACTGAAGGTGAAAACGGCAGAAGAAACAACATGGTCAGAGAGAGATCCACAGGAAGCGGGGGAGCCTGGGGTTTACATGCAGAGACTGCACCGGGAGCCTCAGGTGAAGGGGTCTCCGCACCTGTGATGAGCAGGGAAACCGTGGAGGACTTCCGTGCCTGCTCCATGTTTCCAGCCCCCAGAGCAGTTCCCACCCGGACACTGGCAGCCACGCTGAAGCCTGCAGGAACCTAAAACGAAAAAGAAACCTGCAACAACGCAACTGCAGCGTGAGAACACATGCAAAGAAGCAGTCTCATGCCCCACACCTGGTGGGAACACTTGGTCCTAAAAGTTTTGAAAAGACCAATCTGCAACATCCCCTTTGTCTAGCTGGAAGCCCCCAGGCTACGGTGGAAACTGAGCCCAGGTGATGATGCTTAGCACAGATGGGGCTTTTCTGCAGAGCTTCCAACCTCTGCCACATGGGGATGCTGCACATTCTTCCTCTGGGAGTAGGGGGATGCACTGACTCACCAGCAGCCCAGGCTTGTGTCTGGTTTGTTTGTTTGTTTGTTTTAAATAGGGACAGACTCCAGGTGTGGTGTCTCATGCCTATAATCCCAGCACTTTCAGGGGCTGAGGTGGATGAATCACTTGAGGTCAGGAATTTGAGACAAGGCTGGTTAACATGGTGAAACCCCATCTCTACTAAAAAATGCAAGAATCAGCTGGGCACAGTGGCACACACCTGTAATCCCAGCTACTCGGCAGGCTGAGGCAGGAAAAGTGCTTGAACCTGGGAGGCGAAGGTTGCAATGAGCTGGGATAGTACCACTATACTCCAGCCTGGGCAACAGAGTGAAACTCCAACTCAAAATAAATGAAATAAAATAAGTAGGGACAGGGTCTCACTCTGTCCCTCAGGCTGGAGTGCAGTGGCACAATCATAGCTCACTACCACCTCAACCTCCAGAGCTCAAACGATCCTGCAACCTCAGCCTCTCAAGTAGCTGGGATCACAGGCATGCGCCACCACACATGGCATGGTGTCTGTCCTGAGAGATCATCCAGGGATTCAGTTTAGAAGACAGGAGTGGTGGGCCGGGCGCGGTGGCTCAAGCCTGTAATCCCAGCACTTTGGGAGGCCGAGGCGGGTGGATCACGAGGTCAAGAGAACGAGACCATCCTGGTCAACATGGTGAAACCCCGTCTCTACCAAAAATACAAAAAATTAGCTGGGCATGGTGGCGTGTGCCTGTAATCCCAGCTACTCAGGAGGCTGAGGCAGGAGAATTGCCTGAACCCGGGAGGCGGAGGTTGCGGTGAGCCGAGAGCGCGCCATTGCACTCCAGCCGGGGTAACAGGAAAAAACCCCCGCCTCTAACAGATAAAACAAAAAAAAAAGAAGACAGGAGTGGTATTAAAGGAACTGCGGGGAAGCAGCCCTGCCTTGTGGTTAGGGATCAGGATTGTGAAGCCATATTGCTTAGGTTCAAATCCCAGCACGCCACTTATCAGCTACATCACCCTGAGCAAGATACTTACCCTCTCTAAACCTCCAGAGTTTTGTTTTATCTGTAAAAGGGGTTGAATCATAGAATCTATATCATTGGGTTATTGTGGGAATTTAATAAGTCCGTACATGCTAACTGCTTAGAAGAAGCATGTAGGAATTGCTCAATAAAGATTTACCATTATTATTTATAAAGTTAGCACTTGAAAAATCAATATTAATAAGGAAAAATGAGTCCTCACTTGTTGAAACACGAACATTGCCTTGGGATCAGAACGACTAATGACCAGCTTAAAGAAAATCTGACATAGGTTGGGGAATAAAAAAGTAATAAAAGACTGAGTCTCTGCCTAGAAATTCACAAGTAGGAACAAACATAGCGATCGCCTGACAGATTCTTTATTTATTACAAAAGGAAAGGCAGTAACTTGACAGCAGACACCTGGCAGGCACCACCTTAACCAAGAAATCAAAGTTAATCCTGGCAGGGTGCAGTGGCTCATGCCTGTACTCCCAGCACGTTGGAAGGCTAAGGTGGGAGGACTGCTTGAGCCCAGGAGTTTGAGATCAGCCTGGGCAATGTAACAAGACCAAAATTTTTTTTAAAAATTAGCTGGGAAAGGCCAGGCGCGGTGGCTCACACCTATAATCCCAGCACTTTGGGAGGCCGAGGCAGGTGGATCACGAGGTCAAGAGATCGAGACCATCCTGGTCAACATGGTGAAACCCCGTCTCTACTAAAAATACAAAAATTAGCTGGGCATGGTGGTGCATGCCTGTAGTCCCAGCTACTCGGGAGGCTAAGGCAGAATTGCCTGAACCCAGGAGGCGGAGGTTGCGGTGAGCTGAGATTGCGCCACTGCACTCCAGCATGGGTAACAAGAGCAAAACTCCATCTAAAAAAAAAAAAAAAATTAGCTGGGAGTGGTGCTACACACCTGGAGTACCAGCTACTCAGGAGGCTAAGTGAGAGGATTGCTTGAGCCCAGGAGGTCGAGACTATAGTAAGCCAAGATCATGCCACTGTTAACAGCCTGAGCGACAGAGCAAGATGCTGTCTCAAAGAAAACAAAAACAAAAACAACACCACCCCCAACTAAAAAGGTCACATCACCAACACCGAGACAGATCAACATCACGTGCCTCCTGATACAGTGCACTAAGAAGGTCACAGCATCACTTCCGTAGCTTTCTTGCCCAAAACGGACAATCTAAATCTATTTATAAGGAAACATCAGCTGTACCACATAGAGTGAACTTCTACAGATAATGGCCTATGTTCTTCAAAAATGCCAAGGTCAAGAAAGATGAAGGAATAATGAAGATCTGTTCCAGATTAAAGGACACTAAAGAGACGTGACACTAGGGAAACTTAGTGATACAGGACATCACCAGAGCAATTGGTATTGTTTTGTCCTGACTGTATTGGTATTGTATTTGGACATGGACTGTGTAGATAGATCAGAAAGAACAAATGGGGCAAAATGTGAACAACCGGTAAATCTGAGGAAAGGACATACATCTTTCTGTTGATTAAGAAGAAATATAAGTGTAAATTCTTACAAGCCTATTGGAAAGTATATGGAAAGACATGCAAAAGACATAAAGTCATACTTTTGTTTCACTTTTATGAATCTTAAAGAAATAGTCAGACAAGTATATAAAGACATTTGTCCTAGAATATTCCTTGAAGAGCTGTCAATATTGAAACGTTGGAAATAGGAAATTGATTTTAAAAGTACACCACGTATAGTGGAATTCTATATACCATTAAGCATTTTGACTTATAGTTAATGAATTTACTCAAATATAAAATGCCAATAAAATATTAAAAGTGAAGTAAAATATCCATGTTAAAAAACTCTGCCAAGGATAGGAAAACAAAAACGACCATAGGTCTGCAAGAGAATAATTATTTATTTATTTATTTATTTATTTTTGAGACGGAGTTTCGCTCTCGTTACCCAGGCTGGAGTGCAATGGCGCGATCTCGGCTCACCGCAACCTCCACCTCCTGGGTTCAGGCAATTCTCCTGCCTCAGCCTCCTGAGTAGCTGGGATTACAGGCACACGCCACCATGCCCAGCGAATTTTTTGTATTTTTAGTAGAGACAGGGTTTCACCGTGTTGACCAGGATGGTCTCGATCTCTTGACCTCGTGATCCACCCGCCTCGGCCTCCCAAAGTGCTGGGATTACAGGCTTGAGCCACCGCGCCCGGCCGAGAATAATTCTCTAAAAAAAAACAGGAAATGTGTACTCTCTGTACTTTTAAAACACAACCAGGATCACAGGGAAAAAACCTAAGTGTTACCACTGCAAAAAATGCCAAGCGCATTTTCTGGGTTGAGTTTTTCCCCACATTACAATCTCCCTTTTCTGTTTTTATGTTTTAAAAATGGTACGTGCTTCCTTCAGAATCTCCAGTTGATGTTTTCAGGAAAACGAAGTCAAAGGAAAGCTTCCTAATGACTGGTGTTCCCTATGATCGAAAAAGTCTGACTCATACTCCACTGTATGCATAGAACTCATTTTGTTTATCTCTCCATCCACCCATGGACACACAGGTTGCTTCCACATTTTGTCTCCTGTTATGCTCCTGTGAACATAGTTAACACATATCCCTTTAAGCCAGGCACGGTGTCTCACGCCTGCAATCCCAACACTTTGGGAGGCCAAGGGGGCGCAGATCACCGGAGGTCAGGAGTTCGAGACCAGCCTGACCAACATGGTGAAACTCTGTCTCTACTAAAAATACAAAATTAGCAGGATGTGGTGGCGTGCGCCTATAATCCCAGCTACTTGGGAGGCTGAGGCAGGAGAAACTCTTGAACACTGGAGGCAGAGGTTGCAGTGAGCCAAGATCATGCCATTTTACTTCAGCCTGGGCAACAAGAGTGAGACTCCATCTCAAAAAAAAAAAAAAAAAAAATCCCTTTAAGACCCTGCTTTCAGTTCTTTTGGGGATCTACCTAGGAGTGGCCATGCTGTGTTTTCAGAGGCTTCAGAACCAGGCAGGAGCAGACATGGTGGCACACGCAGAGTGGTATTTATGGTCATATACCCAGTCTCATCCCTCTGCTAAGCAACCCACATGGCCCCTCAAGGCATTTGTGTTGTGGCAACTGAAAAAGATTCTAAAAATATGGAAACAAAGGGAAGATTCGGCTGGGAACTGCGTTAGGAGACGGAGAAGCAGCAGATCATGAGCAGTCTCTGTCCAGCCCCCTTCAGTTCCCAGGGAAGATCCAGCCATAGCAGAGGTACCCTCCCATGCTCAAGGATGGGACTGGACTTTTGTCCATCATTTTACCAACCATTCACGTACTGCCTGTGCTCACCCATCGACTCTTTCAGATACCGAGCAAGGAAACGCCTGGCACCTCCCCACGGCTGGCCCCCGCTGCTTACCATGTACACAATGATGGCCAGTTCATACACGATGGACTGAGCGCCCAGCTCCACCATGCCGAGGATGCCTGGTGAAGAGAGACAGCTGTCGCCTTGCACTCAGACAGGGCCCCCGGGTTCCCACCAGTCACCGCCATCCATCCTCATACGGACCGCTGAGGAAGCTCCCGACCTCATAGGCCCACCACTCCATGCACAGCATCAGCATGCTGGGGACGGCCAGGCGGAGGAAGGAGGCCCAGTCCTGCAGGCACTCGAGTGACCAGCCTGCGGGCGGGACACACACATGTGCAGTGGATCTGGCCATCAGGCCGGAACTCAACCCGACAAAACCCACGTCCCAGTTGGAAGACAAAAGGCAGTCGTTACCTCCCCATGTCGCTTGATGCAGTTTTTTCCCAAGGATGTAGAGAAAGAGGAGTAGAGCCAGGGTGTACTGGGAAATCAAATTCGCCAGTGCGGAGCCTCTGGAAAGAACAGTCCCAGTGAGAGGGAGGTACCCTCCTGCGCCTCTCCCTGCCCCACCCAGTGAGGAGGGGAGATTCAGCCCCTGCTGTGCTGTCCTCAGCAGGCCCTGAGGTCTTCTTCCCGGAGCAGCATCACCCTCCCTCCCTGGCAGTGCTTCCCACAGTGGTGCAAGAAACAGCCACGCATGGACACAAGAACCAGCGGAAGGGCCCGCTGTTCTCCCTCCTGGAAAAACCACATGCAAGCCATCCCTTCTCCCTGTCCCGAGAGTGTGTTAGACTCACATCACCCCAAGATGCAGTTGATGGAGAAACAGATAGTTGGCGAGGGCATTGACAAGGTTGGCTGCAACTCCAGTCACGATCTGGGGCAGTACAATTTCCTGGAACAAGGACACCGCATGCCACCCTTGAGATCCACAGAACAGGACGGCCTTTCTGCCAGCCAAGCACACGCCAGGCTCCAGCCGGCCCGCTCAGCAGGTGTCACAGGCATAGCAGGGGGCCTGGACTGGGAAGGCCCTTTCTCTGCCTTCTCTCTTGGAGGCATAAAGTGTGGAGCTCTGGCCACAGAGAGACACAGGCAAACCATATATAATAACAGGGATGGAAGCAGAGAAATGGCTTGTTTCCAACAGGGCAAGGACTGGCAGGGCCTCAAAGGGTCAACAAGCCATCTTTGACCCTGGACTATAGGAGAAAACGAAAATTTTCTTGACCAAAATAGAAATTCAGAAAGTTGACCTAAGATCTTGAAGAACCCAGAGTTTCATTCTAGAGTATGGAACGGATTCCAGCATATCTAATTCTCAAAAGTACAGCGACGGGAGAAGCATTCAGACTATTTGGTGTCTCAGAGGAAGGCGGGGCGTGAAAATAAAATTACATCAGACCAAGGAAGTAAACCTCTGTCCCGCCACGCATCAGGATGGAATAACAGAGACAGATAAAGTCAGTGCAAAGGGAAGAGGAAGCATCCTTTCTCCCAAGGCCACGCTGTCCCCACAAAGTGACATTACTCCCCTATTGGAATGACAAGTGCTTTCTGACTCATTGAGAAACTTTGTTCTCTAAAATCGTTGAAATCAGCCAGGCCTGGTGGCTCACGCCTGTAATCCCAGCACTTTGGGAGGCCAAGGCAGGTGGATCACGATGTCAGGAGATCAAGACCATCCTCAATAACATGGTGAAACCCCATCTCTACCAAAAATACAAAAAATTAGCCAGGCGTGGTGGCGCTTTGATCTCAGCTACTCAGGAGGCTGGGGCAGGAGAATCGCTTGAACTTGGGAGGCGGAGGTTACGGTGAGCTGAGATCGTGCCACAGCACTCCAGCCTGGGTGACAGAGCAACAACCCATCTCAAAAAAAAAAAAAAAAAATCCCTGAAATCAGACTGTTCAGAAACATTGCTGTTTGAAATCAGATCAGGAAAAAGAAAACATCCCACTCTTGCCTAGAGGCTCAGTATCACTTTAATATAAAAAGTAGCCTCGATTTCCAACCCAGGCCCAGAGCTTCATGGGAGTTCCTGGATGTGACATTCTACATCTGTCCACCTTCGATATCCTTCTAACATTGGGTTTACAAAGGAGGAGCACCAGGTCCATGTCACAGCCCAGACCTATGCTGGGCCCCTCCCTCACAGATCTGCTCAGCACCTATGAAACCATGGTGTCGTTTAAATGTCACTTGAACCTCACCCTTCTTCAGCCCTTTATAATAACTCTTCCTTTGGTGAGGCATCCCACGGCCCCTCTGGTCTCTCTCAGTGTGACAGCTTGGTAAACCCAACTGCAAACCCACTGGCCTGCAGGTCTGTCTCTGGTGGTCTCAGGCTGATGGGGCCCGGCCTTGCGTGGCCACATATTTATGGGGAGACACTAGTTAGTTTTTAGCAAGGGAATTAGTGGTCAGATTTACTCTTCAGGCAGATGGCAGTGGATGGAGACGGGTTAAAGTCCTCTGAAATGACACAGAGGACAAACGACAAGAAATGAATTCAGGGCCGAGTGTGGTGGTTCACGCCTGTAATCCCAGCACTTTGGGAGGCCAAAGCGGGTGGATCACCTGAGGACAGGAGTTTGAGACCAGCCTGGCCAATGTGGTGAAAACCCATCTCTACAAAACATGCAAAAACTAGCCAGGTGCGGTGGCACACATCTGTAGTCCCAGCTGCTCAGGAGGGCTGAGGCAGGAGAATCGCTTGCACCCAGGAGGTGGAGGTTACAGTGAGCTGAGATCGTGTCACTGCACTCCAGCCTGGGTGACAGTGAGATCCCGTCTTGAAAGAAGGGAAGGAAGGGAGGGAGGGAGGAAGGAAGGAAAGAAGAAAGGAAGGAAGGAAGGAAGGAAGGAAGGGAGGGAGGGAGGGAGGGAGGGAGGGGGGGAGGGAGGAAATTCAGGTGGTGGCATGGAGGATTGGAAGAGCAGGCAGAAGCTTAGGACCAGGTGACTGACCAGGTGTGGGAGGGAAGGATGGAGCTGAGGGTGTGACAGGGAGGACAGGTTACTGAGAGTGAAAATGGCCGAGGCCACGCAATTCCACCCATTGCCACAGAATGCAAGAAGGCAGAGGAGCAGGCCTGTGGGAGGACAAGAGGAGGAGGCCAAGCCTGCAACATGCAGCATCTGCATGCCCAGTGGAATGACCTTCTCCTCCTCCTGCAGCTTCCAGACCTGCAGGCTCTCTTCCCGCCCCCTGCCCTTCCCGGGGCATTCACTTTCTCCAGACTCCCAGATGCTTCTCTTTGGTTCTACGCCCAGCTAATGGTCAGCCTGTCTTCCTAGGGAAGGGCCCCAGGGCAGAAACTCCTTCCACCCTGCGGCCGGACAGCCCCTGCCATTTCTACAGAACCCAGCCACCATCCTATCCCCACTGCTCCCACAGAGCAAAGCCTTTCTTCATCATAGACCCTCACCATCGTTTGTTTGGATGATGTCTGTAACTCTTGCCTCTTCCTCTGCCAATATTAGTTAATTTCCCAGAACTAAATGCCCCAGCAGAGGACACAAGCCTGGCGCGTGCTGACCCATGGCCAGCCTACCTCTCGATGCCATCATCTCACTCTGTCCCCTACCACCGCCGTGGCCTAACGAGACTCTGCCGTCCCGGCCCCTAGGAACAAGCTCACTGCCCCTCTGTCTGGGATGCCCTGCCTTCCTTCCCGACCTTGGAAACCCCACGTGTCCTCTGTAACCTTGCTCCCAACCGCGCTCAGCTTGTGGCTCCTACTTTCAGGCCTTTCCCTGTGCCCCGGAGAACCGGAGAGAAGACTTTCACACGCACTGTCCTCAGTAGGCCACATCAGACCCTGAGCTTAGGGCCATTGCAATTGTTGGAGGACTGAGTCTGGGAGGAGGCCCTGCCTTGCGACGGCATCCCCTGCCTTAGACAAGCATCTAGACGGAAAGGAGACCGCCCAGAGCCGGATGAGATGCACAGGTTTCCTTCTTTCTAGTCTACACCTGTTTCTGACATGTCATTCTAACACTAATAGGGATTCCAAATGTTCTTGTTTTGTTGATAGAGTAAAATCCTGCCTGGGTGCAGTAGCTCATACCTATAATCCCAGCAATTTGGGAGACTGAGGCAGGAAGATTGCTTGAGTTCAGGAGTTCGAAACCAGCGTGGACAACATAGCAAGACCCCATATCTACTTTAAAAACATTATTTTTTTTTGAGACGGAGTCTCACTCTGCCACCAGGCTGGAGTGCAGTGGTACAATCTCGCTCAATGCAACCTCACCTCCTGGGTTCAAGTGATTCTCCTGCCTCAGCCTCCCCCGAGTAGCTGAGACTACAGGCACACACCACCACGCCCAGCTAATTTTTGTATTTTTAGTAAAGACGGTGTTTCATCATGTTGGCCAAGATGTTATCGATCTCCTGACTTCGTGATCTGCCCGCCTCAGCCTCCCAAAGTGCTGGGATTATAGGCGTGAGCCACCGCGCCCAGCCTAAAAACTTTTTTTTACTAGGGTAATATCTTAACTTTAAGAACACTGCAATGGTGGGAAACTTCCTCCCTTCCTCCTCCCCACCGGCCTCTGTTTCATGTGCCTGGGGAACCTAACAGTGTGGCTGGGATCTATTGCCAGGTACCCCTGTTTATCTGGACTTATCTGGAAGAATGTGGAGAGTCCCACATATATTGGCTTCATCAGTCTACTGCTACCAAGCCAGGGCAACACGCTGGGGCCCTTGGCCACAACTGTTTAGTCACATAGGAAGAGTTGTGGCTGACGTTAGGTATCATTGGAGTTTGAGCTGTCAGGTCCTTGCTGAGAAAAGTGGGGCCATTCAGACAGAACAGAGTAGACAGGCAGGTTCCCTCACTACCGGACGAGGCGTCCCCAGCCTGTGCTCTGTCCCGGGAGCAAACAGGCATGCACCCTTCTTTCCAGGACACTGGTTAAATGCAGAGCCAAAGAACACTGCAGCTCTGATCCCGCCCTGCCAATGACAATATTTCCAAGTGGGCATTGGATACAAGTTTTCCAGAGCCAAATATAACATGTTCTTTCCTTGATATCACTTAACAAATCTCTCGACATCCAAGTCCTGTGTGCACAACACTGAGAAAATACCTTTCAGTGGCTCCCAGCCGTGAGCTCTCTCCACCCTGGAGTCCCTGGTCCCGGAGTATCTTCAGGGCCCCCATTCCCAGAAAGGTACAAACTCCCATGAACCTCCCAAAGGAAGAGAACACTCAGCATTACCTGGTTGAGCAAATATTTAACTTGTAACAAATAAAGAAAGGTTGCCTACAAGAGAATGAGAGAGACGAATGTTAGTGTTTCGGCCTTGCCACACAGCAGTGAGGTCACATGGCAGGGAGCTGGGAGCCACAGCCATGCCTTGGCTGCCCTCTGCTCCCGCACGGAGCCACAGAGACTGGCATTTCAGGATGGGGCTGAGGCCAGGGGGTTATGGCCCAGGGGCTACCCAATTCTCCTTTATGGGTGAATATGCCCCAAGCGTAGTCCCTCCATCTGGCAAAAGGGGATGCAGCTTCCCTGGTTGCATGTCCAGGACTCTTCTGGGGACACTGGCATGGAAAGGGGCCCCTGGGCAGACTCCAGGTGGGCACCTCCATATAGTCTGGTCTTATGTGGTGGAATCATGAAAGACTGTCACATTGACACGGTTTCAGGATAAATGAGTGAGCACAATGCCAATTCTGAGGGCAATTGGTGTCCCTAGATCCATACATTGAAGCCCTAGAGTCTCCAATGTGACTATTTGGAGGTCTTCAAAGGGAGATTAAATTAAAATGAGGTTTTAGGGTGGGGCCCTAATCCAATAGGACTGGGGGATGAATGCATGGGGGACAGCCTGCAGAGCGGGGCCACTGCAGCCAAGGAGACAGGCCACAGAGGACACCAATCCTGCCGCACCTTGACCTTGGACTTCCAGCTTCCGGAACTGTAAGAAAATAAAGTTCTGTCTGGGCACGGTGGCTCACGCCTGTAATCCCAGCACTTTGGGAGGCCGAGGTGGGCAGATCACCTGGTCAAGAGATCGAGACCCTCTGGCCTACATAGTGAAACCCCTTCTCTAATAAAAATACAAAAATTAGCTGGGTGTGGTGGCGCCACCCGTGGTCCCAGCTACTCAGGAGACTGAGGCAGGAGAATCATTTGAACCCAGGAGGCGGAGGTTGTAGTGAGCTGAGATCACACCACTGCATTCCAGCCTGGGAGACAGAGCGAGACTCTGTCTCAAAAAAAAAAAAAAAGGAAGAAAATAAAGTTCTGTTGTTTAAGCCCCCTAGTGTGTGGTATTATATGATGGAAGCCCCCAAAGACTCATGCATCTACAGTCTCCAACTAAATGACAAACACTTAGCTCTTAGGTCAGGCGTGGTGGCTCACACCTGCAACCCAACACTTCAGAAGGCCAAGGCAGACGGATTCCTTGAGCCCAGGAGTTAGAGACCAGCCTGGGAAACATAGTAAAATGCTGTCTCTACCAAAAAATGCAAAAATTAGTTGGGCATGGTGGTGTGCACCTGTACTACCAGCTAATGAGGAGGCTGAGGTGGGAGGATCACTTGAGCCCAGGAGGCAGAGGTTGTAGTGAGTGAAGATTGTGCCACTGCACTTCAGCCTGGGTGACAAGTGACATCCTATCTTAAAAAAAAAAAAATATATATATATATATATATAACCTTACATGGCTGAGAAAAAAAATAGCAAGACTTTGTCTCTACAAAAACTAAAAAATTAGCCAAGTGTGGTGGCATATGCCTGTAGTTTCAGCTACTCAGGAGGCTGAGGCAGGATGATGCTTCAGCCCAGGAGGTCAAGGCTGCAATGGGCTATGATGATGCCACTACACTTCATCCTGGGTGACACAATGAGATCCTGTCTTAAAAACACCAAAAAAATAAAAAATAAAAGGCCAGGCGTGGTGGCTTACACCTGTAATCCCAGACTTCGGGAGGCCAAGGCAGGCAGATCATGAGTTCAAGAGATCAAGACCATCCTGGCCAACATGGTGAAACCCCGTCTCTACTAAAAATACAAAAACAATTAGCTGGGTGTGGTGGCACACATCTGTAGTTCCAGCTACTCAGGAGGCTGAGGCAGGTGAATTGCCTGAACCCAGGAGGCGGAGGTTGCGGTGAGCCAAGATCGCGCCATTGCACTCCAGCCTGGGTAACAAGAGCGAAACTCTGTCTCAGAAAAAAAAAAGAAAGAAAGAAAAGAAAAGGAAAAAACACTTAGCTATCATTGTTCATTGACCATACACTGCTGTGTCAAACATTAACCCATGCTTATGGTTCTGTGTGGTCAAACTCAGCAGACCAGAAAAAGTCTAAAGGTTCTAAGTGACACCCTCAGGGGTTGTGAAATGGGTGAAACTTTGCTCAGTTTGCATTTTTCTCCATGGATGATTCTGGAAGTCTCTCCAGCTCTACTCCAGGCCTCCTGGAGTAGCCTCGATCTTGGTGTTCTTCGAGATGAACATCTGTTTTGCCTTTAACAGGCATAAACAAAAACAGGCTTCCTCGAAGGCACCAACGCCACAGAAGAGAATCATCTAAGACTGAGCCAATACATTGGACTCACAGACACGGCGGCTGCCTTGCACCCACAGACCCCAAGAAGGGAACCTCTTAGCCCTTGAGCACTTACAGGAAGAGCTGGAATGAAGATCGTGACATAGGTCTGAGTAAGCCTAAGTAACGAAAAGAAAACAAAAATTGTGACGGAGGCCTTGGTTTCAAGGGAAAAGTAGGCAGAAGAAAATAACTAGAACTGCCGTTTGCATTCTTGGCTCTTTCAAAATTAAAGGGCTTACATTGCTGGAGTAAATGTGAAAATTTACATATAAAGCTTGTCATCTTAAAACCCAGATAACCTTTCTTGGTTCTTTTGTGTCTTTATGTTTAGGAAGGGTTTTTCAATTTCAGCACCATTGCCAGGTAATTTTCCACCTGTTGTGGGGTACTGTCCCGAGCACAGCAAGATGTCCCACAGCCTCCTGGGTTCTACCAGGAGTACTCCCTACTGCCAGCTGTGATAACCAGAAATGTCTACAGACATTGCCAAATGTCTCCTCGGTTCAGAGCCACTGATCTAGATAAGAGCTTTGAAAGCTCTTACCCGGCCAGGCACGTGGCTCACACCTGTAATCCAAGCACTTTGGGAGGCCAAGGTGGATGGATCACAAGATCAGGAGTTCGGGACCAGCCTGGCCAATATGGTGAAACCCCGTCTCTACTAAAAATACAAAAATTAGCTGGGCATGGTGGCCGGCGCCTGTAGCCCCAGCCACACGGGAAGCTAAGGCAGGAGAATTGCTTGAACCCGGGAGGCAGAGGTTGCAGTGAGCAGAGATCACACCACTGCACTTCAGCCTAGGAAACAGAGTGAGACTCCATTAAAAAAAAAAAAAAAAAAAAAAAAGAATCCTGGGAGGTGGGGACCAGGGTACAGGTGGGTTTGAAAGCACTCAGCTGATTTTAATATCAACCAGGGTCAAGATATACTAAACTTTGAGCAAACGCCACAAACTACCATCCACATGGAGGGTGCTTGCAAATCTATTTTCATTCAAAACTCACAGCCATGCAGGTCACCCAGGAGGGGAGTGGGTACATCTCGGGTGCCAGATGTGAAAAGTACTGAGACCTAGAAGACGTCATCCAAGGAGAGATTAGCACCACTCTGGTGTGCAGCCTTGCCCCTGGCCTTGGCTGCACCCAGACGGGATGAACTTTCTGTGGGATGGACACCCAGTCCCGCCACAACAGGTCCCATCTTACCTGGACACACCTGGGTCCTGCCTGAAGAGCAGCAGGATGTGTTGGGTGTTGAGAAAGAGCGCCCAGCAGGGGAAGCAGCAGAGGAGCAGGATGAGCGCGCTTCGCTGCAGGATCACGCCCACGTGCTTCAGGTTCTGACTCCCGTACGTCTGGGGTGAGCACAGCCAAAATGAGCCCATTAGCACGGACCCAGCACCCAGCCATCCCCCAGAAGCCTTCAGTCATGCCTCATAAAGAAGCAGGTTGGGTTGAGCACAGTGGCTCATGCCTGAAATCCCAGCACTCTGGGAGGCCGAGGCTGGCAGATCATGAGGCCAGGAGATGGAGCCCATCCTGGACAATATGGTGAAACCTGGTCTCTACTAAAAATACAAAAAAATTAGCTGGGCGTGGTGGTGCACGCCTGTAGTCCCAGCTACTCGGGAGGCTGAGGCAGGAGGATTGCTTGAACCCAGGAGGCAGACGTTGCAGTGAGCCAAGGTCGCCACTGCACTCCAGCCTGGTGTCTGGTGACAGAGTGAGACTCTTGTCTGGAAAAAAAAAATTAGCCGGGCGTGGTGGCGAGCACCTGTAACTGCGGCTACTCAGGAGGCTGAGGCAGGGGAATCGCTTGTACCCAGGAGTCAGGTTGCAGTGAACCGAGATCCTGCCACTGCACTCCAGCAAGACTCAAAAATAAATAAATAAATAAAATAAGAAAAAGAAAAAGAGAAAAAGAAAAGAAAAGAAAGAAGCAGCAGGTTGGCCAGGCAAGGTGGCTCAGGCCTGTAATCCCAGCACTTTGGGAGGCTGAGGCGAGCAGATCACTTGAGGCCAGGAGTTCAAGACCAGACTATGCAACATGGTAAAACGCCATCTCAATAAAAAATTGGTTGGGTGTAGTGGTGCATGCCTGTAGTCCCAGCTACTTGAGAGGCTGAGGCAAGAGGATGGCTAGAGCTCAGGAGTTCGAGGCTGCAGTGAGCTGTGGGTGTGCCACTGCAGCCTAGCCTGGATGACAAAGCAAGACTCTGTCTCCAAACAAAACAGCCAAATTTTGCACATCTTTTCAAGTTGTGCACATCTCCCCCAGCTCCATGTTCAGTGACATCTCTGGTGGGTTGAAATTAACCAGAGGAAATACTTACACACCTGAAATTGGCAAACACTGCCAGTCACGTGTTTCTCCCTTCCCCCTTTCCCCCAAGACTTGGTTGCTGAACATTTACCAGCCTGCCACTGGGTGGGGACAGGAAAGTTGGGTTTTAAGAAGTCCTCCAAGCGACTCTGATGCACGCTCAATTTAGAGAACCACAGAACTATACCAAATTCAAACCAAACACGTGGGGAGCGATAGAGGGGAATTTCACAAAATGCCCCCTATTTGTTCAACATACAGTGTAAGACAGTCGTGCAGACAAACACTAGTTTACAAGGCTGAAAGAAATCCAGTGACATTTCAAATAAAGCAGGCCAGGAGAAGCGGAGTCGCTGGCAGACAGACACCGCAGGTGCTGCCGCTGGGCTCTTGTTGCCAGTGGGGCTCTGCCATCTACACTGGAGAAAAGGTGTCTGAGGTCACTGTGAGCGTGTGGCCACTTCCATTTACCTGGGAGATGAGGGTGTCACAAGCAGAAGATAAGCCAAAGCCCACCGAGACACCAGTGACATTGATAACCTGTAAACAAACCCAGAGATGAGTACCTGCAGAGTTAAAGGAAGAAAGGAAGATTAAATCCCTGCGTGTGTTGATCAGAGCCTGCAAAGCTCCTCCTTCAGCATTCACAAGGCAATTTTATCAACTCTGTCAGCTGCCTGAGCCCCCAGTCAGACTGAAGCCATTCTCACAGGTTTAACAAAAATTCTGGACAGAACTAGAGTATTCATCAGGCTGCACTTTGACCCACTTCCTTATAACCGAAAGTCACGTGGCACCAGACACTGACCATGTACATCCCCGTTGTTCCTACAGATGGGATTTCTGGTGTCACAGTCACAAGGCTATTGTTTAAGAATTGTTGACCCAGGGCGGTGGTTCATGCCTGTAATCCCAGCACTTTGGGAGGCCAAGGTGGAAGGATCGCTTGAGCCCAGGAGTTCAAGACCAGCCTAGGCAGCATGATGAAATCTCATCTCTACAAAAAGTACAAAAACTAGCAGGCATGGTGGCATGCTCCTGTAGTCCCAGCTATTTTTGAGGCTGAGGTAGGAGGATCACTTGAACCCGAGAAGCAGAGGTTACAGTGAACCGAGATTACACCACTGTACACCAACCAGTGTCAAGACCCCCATAAAGGAACTGAATCAGCATGAGAACAGTTTCTTCACATCCCTGTCGCATGACTTCACACTGCACTCTTCAACCAATCGACAATCACACTTCAGCCCATTCGAAAACCCTTAAAAACGCTAGCCCTAAACTCTTCGAGGGAGACAGATTTGAGGTTTCCTCATTCAGTGGCCTTACAATTAAACCTCTTTCACTGTTGCAACCTGGCATCTTGGCGTATTGACTTGCCATGAGCAAGGCGACAAACCTATTATGGCTATAAGATTTGGCTAGGTTAAAGGACACGCACAAGCTTAGAAGGGGAAGAAAAGTCTAGGCCAGAGGTGATTGCCCAGACTTTCTCTTTTAAAAGTCATTTTGCTCTCCAATTTCGGGGCTCAGGGACACTGCTTACTGGAATGCAATGACACAGCAGCACAGAAGAGTCCACCTCCTGGAGACCTAGCATGGCCCGCGTCCTTACCCTGGAGGGCACTGGGAGCGCAGAGGCAGTCTGAAGTCCAGGTTAGTGCCAGAGCCTTTCCAGATGTGCTCACCTTCACCAAGGGTCAGCAGCAAACCCTAAAGCTTCGGGGAGCCCAGGGCAGTGCCCCCAAACCAGGGAGTGGTATCACAGGATGTCTGACGCATACCCCTTCTGGAACCTGGTGCCTCCACCTGATTCTACAGCAGGGAACCCGTGGGCAACAGCCCAAACTGCACCCAGTCTGGAAGCCCTGACTTTGATAAGCCTTTGGCCACATCCTGTAATTCCTTGGCCAAAGAGAACCTGCTAAGCCTTGCTAAGTGCGTTTCTGTCTTCCCTTCTATTGCAAATACAATACTTAAAAACAAAATGGGGTGCTGGGGGCGGTGGCTCACCCTTGTAATCCCAGCACTTTGGAAGGCCGAGGTCTTCCAAAGATCACTTGAGGTCAGGAGTTCTAGAACAGCCTGGGCCGACAAGGTGAAACCATATATATATAGACACAAAAATTAGCCAGGCGAGGTGACAGTCGCCTGTAATCCCAGCTACTCAGGAGGCTGAGGCAGGGAGAATTGCTTGAACCCAAGAGGCGGAGGTTGCAGTGAGCTGAGATCATGCCACTGTGCTCTAGCCTGGGCGACAGAGCAAGACTCTGCCTTGTAAAAACAACAATGGATAATTAAGCCTGGGGTTGTCCATGTTGTCCCCTAAGGCCAAAATAAAATAAGCCATATGTACTCATAGCTAGTTCCACATACATTTGGTGACTAATTCCCAGCAGTCTTGCATAGTTCACAGGTAGCAAATGTAATGCCTGGTGAGACCAGGCAGATAAGTGAAAGTGTGTCTCCATCAGGGCTGGAGCAAAGGGGAAATGCATCCATCAAAGAGCCATTGAATACACTTTTGTAGAAACACCCAAACTAGACAAACCAAACCCTTCGGCCTCGCATGGCCAGTTGACAACTCCTGGCTGAGATGGATGATATGTCTCTGGTTTGGGGGGTTTGCATCTACAATACGGAGAGGATTTGGAGTTCCTCTCAATTTTAAATTTGGACACAAAGATATGGACTTTCGCCTTCCAGACCCATTTCTAGGTTAGGACTCTCAGTAAGACAGACAACTGAGTGGGGAGCATGGGGGGAGTCACTTCCTCCTGAGGAAGTCAGACTTGAACTCCCCTTTTACTGTTCCCTTCCCCGAACTGTGGGACCAAGAGTGGGAATCAGAGCACCATGAATCACAAGTAAGATGATGGCTGGGCACGGTGGCTCACGCCTGTAATCCTAGCACTTTGGGAGGCCAAGGCAGGTGGATTGTTTGAACTCAGGCATTTGAGACCAGCCTGGGCGACATGGTGAAACCCCGATTCTACTAAAAATACAAAAATTAGCCAAGTGTGGTGGTACACACCTGTAACCCCAGCTACTTGGGAGGCTGACGCAAGAGAATCGTTTGAACCAGGAGACAGAGGTTGCAGTGAGCCGAGATCACGCCACTGCACTCCAGCCTGGCGACAGAGCGAGACTTCATCTCAAAAAAAAAAATAAAGTAAAATAAAAAACAGAAATGAGAGGATGTGGTAGACAGAATAATGCCCCCTAAGATGTTCCCATCCTAATCCCCAGAAGCTAGGAATCTGTGAGGTTATATGGCAAAGGGGAATTAAGGCTGCAGCACCTTGATTTTAGCCCATGAAACCCACTCCAGACTTCTGCCCTCCAGCACTGTAAGAGAATAAGTCTGTGAAGGTTTCAGCCACGACCTTTTGGTGATTGGTTACAGCAGCAGCAGGAGACAAACACAGGCAGCATTGGTAAACCTGCCAGAAAGCCACCACGTACCGCGATCGCCAGCGTGACCGCGTCCAGCTCCAGCTTGCCCAGGTGGCCGCAGAACACGGAGCTTATGAAGCTGATCAGGAACACCATCAGCTGAACCAAGAACTGGGAAGAGAGGGGAATGGGAAGGGAGGTGAGTGCCCACCATCGCAGGAAAGCCTGGGGGCCCAGGGGTGACCCCAACCCAACGACACCAGTCAGAAGTAAAGAAACCCAGCTTCAGTGAGCCTCTGCCGCCTTTCATAGGCAAATGTACAATTTCTGGGGCTGGGGGTGGGGGCCTCTTGAGATCTCAAAACAATTTATTTGCAACCACGGGGTCAGAACCACTTTTTTGAGAACCTCCCAGCCTTTTCGGTTTTTCACTTCAGTTTCTCAAGCTACAGAGCACATTAAGTTTCCTCTGAAATCTGCAGAGGCTGCCTTCTGGGATAACTCCCTTGTTATCCAAGATTCCTAGTGTGGACTGGAGAGAATACGGGATCCAACAGCAAGAGCCCACTCCAGCCAGGAAGTCCGCAGACGAGGAGCTGAAGATAGCGATGAGATCGTCCACCTGGAGTGCCGGTGGAATCGGGATTCTCAGGGGGAAACAGAAGAGGCCCACTGAGCACTTCGCATTCTAGGAAGCCTCAGATGTGAAGGCAATTTCTGGAATATTGAGCCATTTCTTCCTCGAAATTCCAGCAGGCAATTCTATGAATTGCTCCACAGCGCTTTCAGTGCACCATTGGATAACGAGCTTATTTCTGGAGGTTAACTTAAAATCACCAGATTTTAATCACCTGCCCCCCACCCACCAGACCCAGGCAGTCCAGTATCTCTCTTGGGGAAGCCCCTCTCCCCTGGCAGGCTACGTGGCCCAAAAGGGGGGGTTCACATGACCCCTGCTCCCTAGGAGGAGAGGATGGGTGCCTTAGGACTTGCTGCTGCCACTGCTGCCTATGTCTACCCCATGGGGCCCTCACTGAAGCTGATGCCCCAGAGTTGGCGATGCTTGCTGCTGGTCCAGCTGCAAGGCCGCCTCTCACCGCCCTCAAGCAGTACAGACTCCCCTGTGCTGAGCCCACAGAAAAGTCCCTCTTCCTAGGGCTCCAGTGACTTAGCTTCTAGAGCTGACCTCCACCAGGCTCACACACAGCCCATCTGCCAGCTCTGCAACCACCTCCAAATTCAGGCCCCTGAGCCATGATGGTTCCCATCACCTCCCTCTTTTCCTCCCCAGAATCCACACCTAGGGAGAGACCATTTTCAACTCCTGTGATGGGCCCAGACCTTCAAAGCATGCAAAGCCTGTTTTTAACTGTGTGTGTGTGTGTGGTAGCGGATGTATCTTTCTTTTAACGTTGTCTACGTGACCCAGACACCTCCCTACCACAGAAGCCAGGTGTGAATGTCATCTCCAACAGTCGCCCAGCTACTGAGCAGGTGGAGCACTTTTGTAAGGCCCTGCGTGGGTAATCCAAAATAAGACTGAAGATGGGAATCAAAAAGGGGTGGGGTGGAGGTGCCAATCAAAAAGGCTGACATGAAGAACCAGATGCTGTAGACTCTAAAGCTAGAGCCAGTGGACGTCCCGTAGGCCTGTACCAGCAACGGTGACACATGATTTAGGCGTTGTCACCACCCTTACAGATGTCCCCTGTGGTTTCATTAGGTGGAGCTTGGTGTCTGTTTCAATTGTGAATTCATGTACCTTTAAAGGCCACAGGGTCCTTTCTACGTGTGAACTCCGCATCACTTCCAAATCTTTCCAGCTTACTGCGCTTTAAGCCTTTGCACATCATCTGTCACAAGCGGTTGTGTTCACAGAATCTGTCTTCTCCTTCCCCGTGGAACATCGCGTTTCTACTCCATGGTTCCCTGCCTCCCTGCGGGCCACCTGTGAGCTGTTTCTCATGGCTTCGTATGGAAATGTCCTCAGTCACCCCTACTGCCCAGCCTTTGGAGTCCCTCCCAGATTTTGCCATCACAAATTGCATCACCCTGAACATCTTTCTCACTTGGGTGGGGGCCGGTCCAAAGGTGAGAATCATTGGATGTCTCGGATACAAAAGGCCAGGAAGTCGAGCTGAGCTAAACTAATCCAGGTGAGATGAACCTTCAATGTCAATGCCAGCAAAAACGTTTTTTTGAGAGCTGCTGCGGCTCTGCCGGGGTTACAGCAACAACCTTGTGCTCTGACTGCCTGAGTCAGGCAGTCCATCCTGAATGTCCGTGCCTGGGATCTCGGCTTGAGTCCGGATTTGCTAACCTCTTCTCAGGTCCTGGTTTCAAGCCCTTTGGGTAAATACTTGGCCACAGACTGTGAATCATGTACACAAGGGTCACCTGGGAGCCTGTGCCCTGGCCCATCGCAAGACCCAGGAGGCTAGGCCGAGCTCAGTGGCTCACACCTATAATCCCAGCACTTTGGGAGGCCGAGGCAGGTGGATCACCTGAGGTCAAAAGTTCAAGACCAGCCTGGCCAACATGGCAAAGCCCCGTCTCTACCAAAAACACAAAAAATAAGCTGGGTGCTGTGGTGTGTGGCTGCAATCCCAGCTACTTGGGAGGCTGAGGCAGGAGAATCGTTTGAACCCTGAAGGCAGAAGTTGCAATGAGCTGAGATTGCACCACTATACTCCAGCCTGGGTGACCGAGAGAGACTCTGTCTCAAAAAAAACAAAAAACAAAAAACGACCCAGGAGTTTGGTGGGGCTGAGGAATCTTCATTTCAACATGTCCCCACGCTCCCTCACACACACCCAGGCTAGGTGCATGGGGTCCTGGGTCACATTTTGAGCATGCTCCAGACCCTCTGGGACTGTGCTGTCGCAGACGCATATCTGCGCCCAGGGAATGAACCAATTCTGAACAAAGACCTGTTCCACTAGCTGTCCCAGCAGCTGCTGTCTGAAGAGCAGCCTGAACTGGCAGTGGCTTGGACAGAGCCAAATGGATGACAGAAATTGCCAGAGTGGGCCGGGCCCAGTGGCTCACGCCTGCAATTGCAGGACTTTGGAAGGCTGAGGCGGGAGGACTGCCTGAGCCCCGGAGTTCGAGACCAGCCCAGGCAACATTTTGTAGTGATCCCATCTCTAGAAAAAAATACCAAAGATAGCATGTGTGGTGGCACGCACCTGCGATCCCAGCCACTCAGGAGGCTGAGGCAGGAAGGATCACCTGAGTTCAGGAGTTTGAAGCTGCAGTGAGCAGTCCATACCACTGCATTCCAGCCTGGGTGACACAGTGAGACCCTGCCAAACCCTGCCAGACTGACTGTGCTTCCATCACTTCTTGTCACTGCGACCCTGCTCAGATTTTGGCCAGACAACAATAAGCAAGCTTGGCAGCCAGATTAAAAACCTTCAGCACCTGGCAGCTTTAGAGGGTTCTCTCCAGGGCAAGGCGCCTCCAGACCGCTTCTCCTACCCCCTCCCATGACTGCTGAAAGTTCACTCACCGGAAGGAAACTGAGAGGTCACCTGGGGTAGCCCCCCCCCACCTTTCTTTTACATGTGAGGAAGCACAGCCCAGGAGTTTTCGCAAGGAGCCCAGCCACGTGACTCTCAATCTCAACTCAGATGGTTACTTACGGCCACTGTCTTTGAAGCACAAAGTACATCCAAGCACTGGGGGGACAGGTGTGAGTTAGACACCACTGCTCCACTCCCGCCCCGTGGGACCCACAGTACAGACGGTCCCGACTACACGATTTTTCAACTTCGCAATGGTGCAAAAGCCATGTACGTTCCGTAGAAACCATACTTGGAATGTGGAATATTGATCTTTTCCCGGGCTAATGACGTTTAGTCTCAGACTTGCAGTACTGGTCAGGGCAGTGGGCCACAGCTCCCCATCAGCTCTGCCATCATGAGGGCAAGCAGGTGACACTCTGCCGTGGAATGTGTTGCCAGTATTTTTTGGGTATTTTGTTTTGTGTTTTCATACATCCTGTCATGACTACAAAACGGCCATCTTGTGTCTCCTGCTTCTGGGGAAACGAAGGCAGCTATGACTCTTATGATGGAACTCAAGATAATTGGCCAGCATGGGGGTGGCAAGCCCATCACGGCCATCCACGCAAGTCAGGACTTTCACAATCCATGATCTCATCCTTTTGGTGCATGTAACCCCATCATAAGCCAAGGAGCATCTGTAGAGTAGGGAAAGACGTTCAAAATGCAATAAATAACATAGCTCAGGACATGTGCGTGATGAGCTGTGGGGTGCGGCAGGGGAGTCAGAGAAGGTTCCTGGGGGAAATGAAGTGGAGCTGAAACCTGCATGACGAGCAGGTTAATGTCAGGTAGGCAGGGGCAAGAGACTTGTCTGCCAGGGAGGACTTCCCAGGCGGAGGCACTGAAAGGAGGCTGGGTGGAGGATGTGGCCAGGAGATGAGGACCAGAGACGAGGCTGGAGGGCTGGCTGGGGCCAGGCCATAGAGGGCCTTACAGGACCAAGGAAAGGGTCCGGAGCAGGAGGCACAAGCTCAGATGACCATTTGAAAAGAACTCGTGGCTCCATGTGGCGAATGACAGCGGAGATATAAAGAAGTGGATCCCTCTGAGAGGTATTTAAGGAGCTAAAACCTAAGGCCTTGGTGAGGATGGATTAGAGGAGGAAATGGGGAGCAGAGGCGGTGGGGGCCAGACCCACCCAGCTTTCCTCTTTCCAGCTCCTGCCATCTTTGACCACTTCCTCACAACCATTGAATGGGAGGAGTCACCTTCCCTGAAGGTCTTCCCCCACTTAGGCCTAGGCCTGTCTGTCTCCAGCCAGGCTTCTCCTGCTGAATCTGGTGTTAGTAACTACTTCCTGATCAATATCTTCCCCATGGCCTGCAGGATACAAACCAAAAGGTCAGCCTGCACTTTCTCCTTTGTGAGTCCTGGGTAAAGCGGGTCTCTCCAGATCCCCCACCTCACTCCCTCAACCTGCCTGCCTGCTCTGATATTTCTGCTCCACAGCCATAGAAAGCCTGCCAGCTCCTTCCCACACAAGTGGAAACATTTATTTGAGTTGGAGCCTAGACTATCCCACGTCTGTTACATCCTGGGCAATGCCTGGGGGTCCGTCTTTGGGGTTATTTTTCAGAACTGTTGCCAGCCAGGTGATGAGAGGCTGTTGACAAAGAGGAGGCACAGCTGGAGTGCCTGAGGCCAGGTGTCTGCACACTCTCTCCCTTGCAAATCCAGTCTTCCTCAAACTTTCCCCAGGATAAAATGGGTGGAGCTTTTGAGAAGTAAGCACCATTCAGCTCACACTTTCCTTTGTGCTATGGGTTATTCTCTTTACAAATGCCTCATTTAGAGTAGGGCAGGGTGGCTCACACCTGTAATTCCAGCACTTTGGGAGCCCTAGGCAGGCGGATCACAAGGTCAGGAGTTTGAAACCAGCCTGACCAACATGGTGAAACCCCATCTCTACTAAAACTACAAAAATTAGCCAGGCATGGTGGTGGGTATCTGTAATCCCAGCTACTCAGGAGGCTGAGGCAGGAGAATTGCTTGAACCCGGGAGGCGGAGGTTGCAGTGAGCCGAGATCGCGCCATTGCACTGCAGCCTGGACAACACAGTGAGACTCCATCTCAAAAACAACAAACAGCAACAACAAAGGCCTCTTTTAAAAGCCCAGTGGGAGACCTCAAGGGTCAGGGTTAACTTGAGAGATCTGGAAGGGAAAGGGTGAATGAGAGAGAAAATTACAGCAGGGAGAGCCAGACAGGCATGTTCCTTATGTTATGTTGGAGGCTTGGAGAAGAAAGTATTGGACAATGAGCATAGGAACAGAAGGGGGTGGTCTCTCCTTATCCCCTGCCCCTTGGGAAACAAAACTTTACAGCAGATGGGATTGGAGATGGGAGACAGACCCAGGGGAGTCCACATACACTTCATCAGAGACTAAAGAGGTGGCAAAGCTCTCCACATTTTCAAAAGCAGAGACACACACACAAAGGACTGGAAGCAAAGTTCCTAAATGACCTCTCAGTGGTGAGATTTCAGAGGTTTTTTTTTCTTTTGTTGGTCTTGGTTTCCTATATTTTTTCTACAGCGAATAGGCATGACATTTGTAAGCAACACAATCATATATAGATGTATGTACGCACAGAGAAAAGGTGGGGTCCCCGGCAGGTCAGTCTTGTGGTCATCCCTGGAGACCTGGAGAGGTCCCCCACATCAAGGAGATCAGGCTACTGGGAGGGGTTTCAGAAAGCTGCCCTGTTATTATTATTATTGCTGTTGTTATTAGTGCTGTACTATTAAAGCAATAACAGGCTGGGCAAGGTGGCTCATGCTTATAATCCCAACTCTTGGGAGGCAGAGGCAGGAGAATCGCTTGAGCCCAGGAATTCAAGATCAGCCTGGGCGGCACAGAGAGACCCAGTCTCTAACCCCAAATACAAAACTTAGCCAGGCATGATGGCGTGTGCCTGTCGTCTCTGCCACTTGGAAAGTTGAGGCTGCCGTGAGCTGTGATCGCACTACTGCACTCCAGCCTGGCCGACAGAGCAAGACCCTGTCTCAAAAATAATAATAATAATAAAGCAATAAGAGCCTTAGAAAGCCACTTCTCACAGCAGCTCTGTGAGGGGGTGCTGGGACAAGACACGATTATCATCCCCATTTTACAGATGAATATGCAGAGGCCAGAAGAGGTTAAGAGGCTGTTCCAATCCGCACAGCTGCTTCCTGACTTAACCTTCGGAGGTCAAAGCAGGGCATGCAGCCCCAGGTCTTGAGATTCCAAATCATGAGGTTGTTTTGTTTTGAGACCAAGTCTTCCTCCGTCATCCAGGCTGGAGTGCAGTGGCATGATCTCAGTTCACTGCAACCGCCACCTCCCAGGTACAAGCGATTTTCAAGCCTCAGCCTCTGGAGTAGCTGGGATTACAGGCGCCTGTCACCATATTCAGCTGATTTTTGTATTTTTAGTAGAGATGGGGTTTCAACATGTTGGCCAGGATGGTCTTGAACTCCTGGCCTCGTGTGATCCACTCGCCTGCACCTCCCAAAGTGCTGGGATTACAGGCTGAGCCACCGCCCGTCGTCCCACATCGAGTTCTTTGCGGTCTGTGAGAAAGCATCGCTGATGGATCTTCATCCCATGGCTTTGACCTCCGCATTTCTCTTGCTGTCCTGCGCACCACAGCGAGTGTCACAATATCCCACACACCACAGATCCCACTCCGGGGGCGCAGCGGCGCCTCAGCCCACACATGTGCAGAATCTCAGCCTCAAAGCCAAAAGCTTATTCACGCCTTACGTGCGCATTGGCTGCTGCTTGTCCTGCCCTTCGGTTTCAAAACCACCGAAGCTGGCAGGGGAACGTGGATAGGATTAAATTTTTATGGTTTTTAAAACCACATTACTTTTAGAAGACAAGGCAGAAACAGCCCTAACCTAATGATTAAAAAGAAAAGACTCCCACAGATAAGAACACCGCGGCCCCACAAAGAACCACATTAAAACCCTGGTTTTCTCTCACATATAATGATTGGCGGGAGCGGGTGGAACAGGACGCCTCTGGTCTCCGCAGACGTTGACTGGATTCCGGAGAAATCGTTTAGCAGCTCTAAGTCCACGACAGACCACGCACCCCCTCCTCCGTGCCTCGGGATTATTTAGATCGCTGAGCTCCCGAAGTTTTTACCGCTACTTTTCAAAGAAACAAGTTCCCTCATCTTTTGAGGTTCAGGCAAATTGCTCTTCGTTGGCTGGAATCAGCTCCCAGGGAAGGCACCCGCGGGTGCAACTGCAGCCTGGACCTGACTGAGCCCCGTTGGGTGCAAATATCCCGGCTCCCCGGTGTCTCCAGGCGCAGGAGGCGGGAGTCGCCGGCCTCTCCGAGCCAACGTGCGCCCGGGCGCGTGCCAGCCGTGCCCGCAGTGCCGCGCGGGGCCCCCAGTAGTGCGGTGCGGAGCGGAGGGCGGCCGGGACGCAGGAGGAGGAGCGGGGGTGCCCGACTGGCTCCCGGTAGGATGCTTCCCGGTGCCCGCCCGCGGCCAGCTCACTCTGTCCCTAAACCCCACCAAGCCACCCGCGGAGGCAGGAGTCACCAGGCCGCCAGCCCACCGGGACCGGTCTCCCACTGAGGCCACCCTACTCACCGCTGGGCCCGCTAGGACCAAGAGCGCCCGCAGCTCCTCTCGGAAGTCGGACAGCCGCAGGCGGCGAGCCTCGCGGAGCTCAAGGATGGTCTCCGGGCCTCCGCGCGCGGGCACGGGCGCGAGCTCCTCAGGAGCCTCCATGTGCCAGGCGCGCTGCGGCCGGGGAGGGCGGAGGCCTGCTGTGGGGACCGCGTAGCGCAGCCTGTTCTGCAGTCCCCGCCCCTGCCGACCGCCCAGAGCCCGCCCCGCGCCTGGCGCCCTGGGGCCAGACTGAGTGCGCCCCAGGACGGCAGTCTGCTACCTTGGGCTCGCCCCTTGCAGCTCTCTCTGCAACACTGCGGACGCCTGCGGGTCTTGCAAAGACCAAGGAACTCCTGTATTTGGAAGGCAAAGTTTGAAAAAGCTCTGTTGGAAACTAACGGAACGCGCTCCGGCGGCTGGGTCCTCCAAGTCTCGGACGCCAGGGCTCACCCCTGCTCTGCGCCTCTCCTGGGGGTTTCAGGTTCTGAATGCCTTGGCGTGGAAGGACCCAGAGGCCTCCAGCCAAGACTCGGTTAGCAGCCCGCGGGGTACACTGGTTGGGCGCATTTGTTGTGCAGATTGAGTTGGGTACATTCTTTGATACTGGTTTGGATGTTGCATACTCTTCTCCTCTCATCGGTTGTTCCAATAGAGAACTTAGAACCTACCAGGACAGAGCAACATGCTCCTATTTACCAAGTAGCACAGTTGGCGCCCATTGGTCGTGTTGGAAGTTTATCCATCAGTCTGCTATGGGAGGACGAGAGGCTGGGGCTCAGAAGGGCACAGGCAGCACGCTTGCCTCCCAGAGCCTCAGTTTCCTCATCTGCAAGGGTGAAATAACATCTCGTCGCCAGCTGTGAAGATTAGGGTTGCCTGGGCAGAGGACCTGAGTCAGTGCCGCCTGCCCTCAGCCTGGCACCGGCCATTACCTAGTAAGTGTCATTTACCAGGACCTGAATAATTTCTGTAATAATCCAAATTCCTTCTGTTGTAAGTGATCCAATGTAAGTAGAGAAAACGGAAAACAAATTTTTTGGCTCACGTAATCAGGAAGTTTGGATTCTGGGATTTAAAAACAAGATTATTCATGCTGTCCCTCTCCCCATCTCTGTACCTCTCTTCCTTTCTCCTCGCCCCTTGGGGTTCTTTATATGGTTTCTCTCCGTCCTCTGCAGGCAGCCTTTCTCTTCTTGTGCAGGTGACAGTAGCCTCCGATACCCTCATTCCTATCTTTCATCTGGTAAACCAGAAAGTAAGGCCCTCCCCTCTTCTCTTCTGGCTCCAAACTAAAAAAACAAAAAACTGGGAGAATATCTGATTGGCTCTGCTTAGTTTTCTTGCCCACCTCTGAAACAATCGCCCTGGGTGGGAAAACAGGGTCTTATGCTTGGCTGGCTCTGGACCATGCATCCAGCTTTGTACCTATGGGGTTGGGTGCTATTTGTGACCAGTCTCGTCCCACCAGAACTGCACGTACGGAGTAGAGAAGTTTCCCAAAGGAACTGAGAGTCTCAACAAATATCCGAGGATATTCACTAGATCTCTGATCACTGCTGTTCTTTGATAGTCCTCTGGAAGTCCTGACTGATGTAATAAGACAGGAAACAGAAATGTAATGTACATGAGGAAAGAAAAGGCAAAGGGATTACTCACAGTAGAATTGCCAGACTGCGCCAGGCACAGTGGCTCACGCCTGCAATCCCAACACTTTGGAAGGCCAAGGCAGGAGGATCACTTGAACCCAGAATTTTGAGAACAGCCTAGGCAACATAGTGAGATCCCATCTCCTAAAAAAAAAAAAAAAAAAAAAAAAAAAATCCAGACAACCCCAAGAAATAAAATGTGAACAAAAGCTAATAGAAATGATAAAGGGGTTTAATAAAGTTGCACATAGAAGTTCTTCAACAAGTCATAGCAGTCCTTTCTTTAATAATAACATATATGAAAATATTAAAAGAAGGAATCTTTCACAATAACAACAAAAATAAAAACTCCTTGTGATGCAAAGCATAACACCTCACTCCTTAAAGGTGGATTGTACACAGTGACTTCCTCCCAAAGAGTAGAGCAGGAAAATTAATTTTCAATTAATATATTAGGTTTTAGTTCACTTTTGTTAATTCTATTCTTTTAAAATTTAATAGAATGATGCTAAAAGTAACTGACAGTGTAAACAGGAAAAGATATAACAAAAATTCTGAAAAAGAAAAGTAAGGAGAAGAGAAGTAGTTCTATTAGCTGATAGATAGTTTTTAAAACAACGCGTGGCTGGCTGAGCATGGTAGCCCATACCTGTGGCCCCAGCACTTTGGGAGGCTGAGTTGACAGGATTGACTGAGCCTCAGAGTCTGAGATTGCAGTGAGCTGTGATTGCACTACTGCATTCCAGTCTGGGCGGCAGACTGAGACCCTATCTCAATAACAAACAAAAAACAATTTTTTTAAAAAAGAACTCTGTTACTTGGAAAGTGTTGGGATTTTGATTGATATTGCATTATATCTGCAAATTTATTCAGAAAGAATACACCTCATTAAAAGACTGTCTTCTAGGGAGGCCGAGGCAGGTGGATCATCTGAGGTCAGGAGTTCGAGACCAGCCTGACCAACATGGAGAAACCCCGTGTCTGCTAAAAATATAAAAATTAGTCAGGCATAGTGGCACATGCCTGTAATCCCAGCTACTTGGGAGGCTGAGGCAGGAGAATCACTTGAGCCAGGAGGCAGAGGTTGCGGTGAGCCAAGGTTGCACCATTGCACTCCAGCCTGGGCAACAAGAGTGAAACTCCGTCTCAAAAACGTAAATGAAATAAAATAAAATACTGTCTTCCAGTTTAATCATATCCCTAGTCTAATCAGTACTCATCTAGGGGAATGGGAGACTGTTTGGACTAGGGATATGGTGAATTTGTTATTGATGCTTGATAAATAGTCATAATTATGTTCATATGTGGCTCTTAATTTGCCAAAAGATATTATTAAAAGAATGTATTAAAGTTAAATTTCATCAGATTTTTTTTTTTTTTGAGACAGGGCATCTCTCTGTCACCTAGGCTAGTGTGCAATGGTGTGATCTCTGCTCACAGCAGCTTCAACCTCCCTGGCCAAGCAATCCTCCCACCATAGCTTCCTGAGGAGCTGGGACTACAGGCATGCGCCACCACGCCCAGCTAATTTTGTATTTTTAGTAGAGATGGGAGTTTCTCCATGTTGGTCAGGCTGGTCTTGAACTCCTAACTTCAGGTGATCCACCCGCCTCGGCCTTCCAAAGTGCCAGGATGACAGATCTGCGCCACCATGCCCAGCCCCAATTCTCTTTTTATTGTAGGATTAATGGTGGTCATTGTGGCTAGCTCCCCAACATTCCTTTCACCCCAAATGACTCCTTTTAGCCAGTCACAAGAATCTCATTTTCCTCATCAGGGGCCTACATAGGGCAGGCATGACCCCATTCTATTTAATATATTTATATATATATTAGAGACAGAGTCTCACTATGTTACCCAAGCTCATGATTCAATTCTAGCCATGAAACTTGAGTGAAAATCTGATGGCATTTCTGGAAAAGATTTCCTATTTCTAACATTCAGGCAAAAAAAAAAAAAAGGCCCCTATTTTCTCCTTCAGATGTGGTATCCAAATTTTTTATTTTTTTGAGACAGAGTCTCACTCTGTCTCCCAGGCTGGAGTGCAGTGTGTGATCTTGGCTTACTGCAACCTCTGCTTCCTGGGCTCAAGCAATCCTCCCACCTCAGTCTCCCAAATAGCTGGGACCACAGTAGGGTATCACTATGACTGGCTCATTTTTATAGTTTTTGTAGACATGGATTTTCACCATGTTGCCCAGGCTGGTCTTGAACTCCTGAGCTCAAGCAATCCACCCTCCTCGGCCTCCCAAAGTGCTGGAATTACAGGTGAGCCACCACACCCAGCGGTATCTGAATATTCTGCCTGAAAGTGTGACAGCCATGATGCTGCTGGCCCCAGATAAAGCCAATATAAGCAAAGGGCAAAGCCAAGAGGACCACAGATATTCAATGAAGACTCAGAGAGGGAGAGAGGGAGGCAGAGAGCATATAAACAGATGATTATAAAAGGCAAATATCTGTTATTGGCAAGAAAGGGGAAGGCTTTTTAAATTTAGACACACAGGCTGGTGCAGTGGCTCACACCTGTAATCCCAGCACTTTGGGAGGCTGAGGCAGGAGCGTTGTTTGAGCTCAGGAGTTCAATATTAGCATGGGCAATATGGTGAAACCCCATCTCTGCAAAAAAAAATACAAAAATTAGCCAAGCATGGTGGCATGTGCCTGTAGTCCCAGCTACTTGGGAGCCTGAGGTGGGAGGATCATTTGAGTGTCTGTGGGGGGAAGGCTGAGGCTGCAGTGAGCCATGATCATGCCACTGCACTCCACCCTAGGTGACAGAGTGAGGCCCTGTCTCTAAAATAAATAAATAAGCTTAGACACACAGAAAGAGAGCCAACTTTTTTAGTTTTATTAACTTTGCCCACAAATCTTAAAGGAAAACACAGAATTCAAAACTAACCAGTTGGTTTAAGCTACAGGTATCAAAGGCTGCTTTCCACTCCAGGGAGAGAAAAAGCCATTTTCTAATTGCGTAACTTGCACTCACACTGTCTATAAACAATAAAGACAAAACTGAGGAGCCGGGAGACATTGGGATCTCCAAGCAAAACACACAAAGCAAAACAACCACCACAACGAAAATCCACCCACAATAATCCAAATTCCTGTTCGGTCTGCTGTCTGGCAGAGCGCGCCTAGTGGTCAGATCATGAAAACCTCATGGAAGAGGGCATAAGTCGCTGTATGCAAATCAGAACCCAAGCCAGAAACAGACCTGGCCAAGAATCAGACAGAAACTAGAAAGTAAAACAGAAACAAAGCCAGCAAACAGTCAAAAAACAAACAAACAAAACCCCACAGTGTGGGAAGAAAGTTGCTCAGGTGCCAATGCAAAAGACTAAAGCCACAATCTGTCCCAGCATAATAAATGATTACTTAGATACAGCAATGATGCCAGATATATTTACTGATTATTTAGTTACAGCAATGATATATTTACTGATTACTTAGTTATAGAAATGATACCAAATATACTTAGAAACAATCACATAATTATATAATCAATCTTAGTAAATCATTATTCTCTATTATTAATCTTTAGTATTATAGCATAGAAACATCTTAGCCT